ATCACGAGCAGTTAGTTTTTAAAAATGTCGCTCAATAAAATGTTTACCAGAGAAAACATTTATTATTTATTTTGGAATAAACTCCGTAGTTACCAACTGTTCATTCGCATTTGTTAACTCTAAAACGTTAGGCACGGTTTCGGGTTATTAATTTGACGCGTTCCTCCTTCTGCGGCAAGCGTTTTATCCCGTTCTAACACGACGCTTTCGATATATTCTTTTTCACCAGCGACGAGCCAAGATTCAATTAAAAAATTACGCCAGTGTGTAGGATTCGATTTCAAAGTAGGTAAGCGAATGTTGAAGCCTCATGGCGCTGCTAATTAGTCTCGTTTAAGCAACGAAACTAAATTGGTAGCCAGCCTTAATTACTTTTGAAAGGAACAGGAATTCGAGCTATCAATAACGCAAAATAAGATTTGTTTGATGTAATTTTTTATTTTAATTATTGAACCATTACGGACAATTCATTACTATTGTATATGGCATTTCCAAAGCTTCAGCTTTTTTCGTTTGGTGTACCTACTTATTTCTTCGTTAACACTCTCTCTCTATATTATTAAAGTTACCAAATTCAAGTTATAGGCGAATGATAATAAATAACACTTATGGAAAGTCCTTGACGTGATTTCTGGAGTAATAAAGAAATTTTCCTGTATTAATAATACAGGCGTATTCTCAATTATAATTCTGTTGTGCTAAAAATATTTACTGGACAGGAATGATTGATGGCATGAAATAAAAAAAACACGAACTCGTTACTGCGTTAAGAAAATATAAGTATAAGACTTTAATGAAGTTCTCTCCTGTCGGTTGCTCATTGCATTTTTCCTCTCGCATTTGTATTTGCCGTAAATTATCGATTTCCACGTGAATAATTGATCATAATGACGAGCAGTTGTTGGATTAATGCCTTTTTATGTTACGATTTTCTAATTATATTCATTCGCGATTTGTTGGCTTTGATTCCGGTGGTTCATTCATAATAAAAATTCAATGAAATTAAAATAGAAAATTACGTGTTCGTAATCAAAGCCGTTTTGTTTCGCTTCAAATCACTTTTAACAAGCCTGAAAAACGAGTGCATGTTTTAATTATCTTAGCGTTTATTGAAAACATCGATATTATAAAAATTAACTTCAAAAGGCAACACGCAATAAAGCATAGGGAAAAACAAGGCGAGCGTTGGAATTTGAAGTATCTATTGCAGTTTTCCATAATATCGGAAAACACGAAAGAAAAAAATAGGTATTCGAAAATGTGACAATACATGCAATCTTCCATGACGGAATCGATGATTTGTTTCTTCGCAGCGCCCTATTCGAATTACTCGAATAACGGTGTCAATTGTGATCTGGTTTATAATTCAATAAATTCATGAAGCCGTCGCAGTTACCTACGTTCGCTTGTAGAATATTTCCAATCCCTTTTTATCCTCGAATCCGCACCCGAAGTATGCAACAATACGTTGTAGGTAACAATACACAACAGATGTTGTGCAGGAGTTTCGCATATTTTAGTCTTCTATTTTAATTTCCAGCGCTGAAAATCATTCATGTCGATTTATACACAAGTCTGTGGGTGCATTTATGCTTATTAAACATTTGATTATGTCATATAAGGTACGATATTAACCCCAATTTATCCTTTTTAATTCATTCAATTCCCAACATTGCGTTACTTTCACATTTGAATATTCAATACTTAGTTTTTTTTTCTTTCGTGAATTCTATTCTTACATTCCGTTTCATTTGCGTGATTTGCGTGTTCATTTATAAACAAAAAAATATCTTTAGAATGAACTGACAATCCCGGATTAGCCAAATGAATTAGTTAACCTTTTAGCCCAACTGTCCTGATAAATCTTCCGAATGCAATGTGTTTAGAATAATTGTTTTCGGTTCAGTAAGTCGGAATTTTTATTTATAAATCTTTTTAAACTTGACGAATATAAACTGTTTAGTTTTCTTTCCTAGACGAGATTAATTAAATCAACACTCGTGCTTAGATTTTTAATCAATATTGAGTAACCATTTACGAAAACCTATACATAATTTCTCTCATCAAAATTAGCCATACAGAAATCTATTCATAGGTCGATTACGGTGGAAAATTGAAAATTTTTCGTTGGAAATGCTGAATTTATATGGGAACATTCATTTTAGGAAATGAAATACCTAATCTCATAAAATGGCAACAAATTTGACCAATCCTCGAGTGGCTAACTAATAGAAACTTCCGGCGCAAGAAATGCCTCTGATATATACATTGAAAAATACTTTTTCAATTTGACAGGTTGTTCTAATACGTAGTAAAGATGCGATGAAGATTACCTATATACCTATAAAACTATAATTTTAGTGCTACATTGATTGTTAGGTTGCGCAATGTGTATCGTCGATTTACTAAGTGGAATGCAATAGGAACGTGTGCCCAACATTCGTATATAATTTAAAACTCGATAATTGGCAATGTGAAACAGTAGGTAGTAATTTACTTGCATTGATTCCTGGAATAACTGTAATTTCTTCATTAACAACTGCATTTTCAATCATTAACCATTCCCATTCCCGAAATTGTAATCGCAATTTTGCTATGTTATTTTCCCGTTCGCAGTTTCGCGGATTTTTGCACAAAGTTTTGAATGCAACATTGCGCTTCATGCAAATTTATTTCGAATGTAAAACACAGCAGATAAAATGCTAAGATTCTTCTTCGCATCAAGACATGCTCTAAAATATGTAACGCAAACTTCACCAACGAGTATTTTGATGCTCAAAAGTACATCAACGCTATACAATAAAATTTTCTAAAACGTCCGGGACGTTAAATAATGTACAGTGCCTACGTGTCTGAGAAGAAGATATTAAATATTTAACAAACTATCTGCTCTTGTATTCGTCTGATTTTCATTCATTCTTAATCAATATCGGCTGTTTAGCCAGCGATAACATTCCGAAATTCCCTGTATATCCTGCTGAAATCCTATGTTTTTATTTTCCCGAAATGTGCGGCGGAGAAAAGGCAATTACATAAAGTGCAAAAAAAGTTTTAACAAAGTTTTGATGGGTGGTAAGGAAAAGATAAGATGAAAAAAGATACATATACAAGATTGGGAACGATAAAAGCGATATATATCTTATACGGACATACAGGGAAACTCCATTTTTTAGAAGAAAGAACTTTTAAAGTACGTACATCTGGATTTTTCGCAGACGATTTCCGACAATAAAAAAATGAGTAAATTGTATATTATGTATACATATAGACTAAAACTGTTGCTATAAAATACAAAATAGAGTACGGGAAATTAATATTTACATTTACATAAACAATAAGTATATCGAAGCGCGTGTATTTAAACGTGTAATTAATCAGTTTATTAATTTTATTTGATCATATTAAATTCAATTTTAATTAATATGAATATTATTCCAATAAATTTGGGATGATAAATTGCGGTCTTTTAATTTCATCCTCTTTAAGTAGCCCTACCGTCCGATTCGCCCATGCTAACACTCGAGTCTCGAGTAAATCTTAATCGAATGCAAATCACGTGTCCCCGACTAAGACAGAAAGAATACGGAGTGATGAAGAAAAAGACTAATTGACACTTGATTAATTTGTTAAGAGCCTCTAACGTCGCTCTCGTTACTCCTCGTTCGGGATTTGAGGGTCTATTTAACGTTCGGAACGAATTATTTTGCCATTTTAATTCGTTTACAAAATTTAATCAAAGGAACTTACGATGAACAGGGATTTATTAGAGAACAAAATTTTTAAACAAACCGTTTAAGAGCTATCTTCGTTTCTATAATAGAATGCGGTATAGCAGAAAATAGAAAAAATTCCTTCATAATCCACCGGCCTTTTGGGCGATAAAGTAAATTAAAAGGGCTAAGAGCTGTAGGTTGAATTTTAGAGATTTTCTTCTCGGCTCTAATTTTTTTATTAATGACGGTTTGAATTCCGCAACGAGTAAAGAGAAATTCGAAATTTTTCATTTTTATAGTTGTGTTAATTTTTTATGGCTTGGAAAGATGACGATAACATGTAGTTAGAGGGATGCGAAAATCTTTTACCCGCGTTTCCACTCTTGACGAAGTTATCGCGCTCTTCACACCCTTATTCGCGGACGCGAATGAAGTTATAGTTGCTTATGATTTCGTACCAGTTGCGATTTTATTTGTTGTCCCATCATTTTCCTTAATTCAGTAAATTATAATTTGTTGAAAGTCCTTTGAAGTTGAACACTTGTACTCATTTAATTATACGGACGGTATCATGGCTTTGTTGTTGAATTAATAATTAGTTTCCCTCAGCGAATGTTCGAACACTTCGAACTGTAGGCAAATCTTAAAGATTCCCTTTTATACCTTTGCGTTTAATGTCGGTTGAGGGTGAATTATTAAATGTTCTCATCGTTTTTTATTAGAAACTTGTTCTCCTATATAATAATTATTAATGTCTGCAAAACGTGGCAATTTCAGTACCTTTTAGGAGTAATTAATTTTTAATTTGTTAATTACCCATTAAAAGCTTATTTTCTTATTTTAAATGCATTTATTTATATCTTGAAATATAAAATTGGTTAAGCGTATAAAAATGAAGCCCTTGTCCAGATATTTAATTTAAATTTCAAGGCTCTTCTTTTATTATAGTTTATTCAAAGTAAAGGTATAAATATCATTTAATACGTTAAGCATAAAAAATAATAGCAATATTTTGAACCAATTAAATTAATAAAGTAATTAATTAAAGTGAATTTGATCGCATTCGGTCTATTTAAACTATACTAAACTCTGTTCCCTTAAGAGTTCCGGGTTTAGATTTGTCGCGAATATGCCGACGGTAGATAAAACCATTTGAATGATTGCGCTTGTAATACCACGAGGTGAATTTATTCGTTTAAAGTGAACGGCAATACAGAGAAGTCAACGGAGATAATTCCAAACGAACCCTTTCCCTAATGAAATGCTGTAATCATTCCAACCCTTTACCTGTGTTACTGAAGAAAATTGTCGCCGCTAGGATGCTGCGAAACTCCGGTTGCCACATCTTTCGGAATTATATTTTTGCAGCAGTTATTCTTTCCACATTACAATTCTCACGTTCTTTTGATAGTGAAAAAACTCAAAAAATAATCACCAAAATATTTCACCGCACCTTCAGAATCCTTGCACCAATTTTTTTACATTCGTCCGGATAATCAAGTTTTGGTGGCACGATGAAAAAACTTGTTGAAGTTAACTTATGATATCGTGGATTTTCAAACTGTCATGAAGGGGGTGAGCGCGTGTTTGACAGAAACGAGTCGCCTACTAACTTCCACGCCGGTTGAGTTTCCTCGTGATACTGGCGTCGGGATGCCAGCGATGCCCCGATTCGCCGGCCGTTGCGCCCTCCAGTGGCCTTATATTTAACCGATACAGTCCTATGTTTTGTATCGACCACTATAGTGTAAATTTTAATATTACCCCCTTAACCCCCTTTGGTTATTTTGTTGTTGACTAACTCATTATATCTACAACTAACTTTCCCCACAGCAAGCAAACACTCTAGTGATAGGTCTCCAAGTTTACACGAAGAACATTTTTGATAAGTTTTTGTTTACACTTACCTAAACGTTACGCCATGAAGTATAAACAAAGTTATGAAAACGTTAGTTGCCATGAATTTCCTCGAAAATTTGTCATAAAACTAATAACATATTTTGAATAATAGCGTAATTGAATAATTATTGTACGCCCACTACTTATGCTAGTAATTGGCAAAGTTTATATGAAATCCTGTTAAACTTCTACATTAGTCACTTGCATGGCTTGTCTCTTTTGCCATCGAAAGGCACATACAATAACTGCGAAACAACGTTATACTAAAAGTAAATAATTAATGAATATCGACTCGAATTATTCAAAGCTCACACATGATATGTACTCGTATTCAATTTCACCTGGGGCATCTTATCAAACGAATCAACTAGTTGATGTTGATATAAACCTTAGAATATGAATCAATATGCTTCTGGAAATTCATTAGGTACGCTATAATTGAATTTTGGGTTTGTATTGATCACTGGTTACTATCAAACGAACAATGAATTATTTTGTTCGCTCGCAATTTCGTACTTCTAATTACAGGTGGTGTTTTAATTTTGTTTGGATAATTTAAAGGTAAGTTGAGTTCAAACCACTCAAATTGTTTACATTTTTTAAATAGGTTTAAATATTGAATGACTATAAATTAACTAGCCAAAATTGGATGGACCCCCCGATAATTTATTACCTAAATTGGAAGACACATTGAAATAATCAAACTTCGCTTTAACTTTAATTTTGTCAAAAATTTATAAACAACGGTTGCATTGAATTGGTGTTTACAGAAAGTGCGTACAGAAATCAAATAGATAAAATAAATTAAAATAACATGCTTATCCATACTACGCGATCGGTTCCAATCATATTAGCTGTAAAAGTATATATTAAAACTACTCACAAAAGGAAGCCTTTGAAGTATATTTCGCCAAGAACTTGAAGGTAACATTTAATATCTCTTTAGCTAGCACAAATTGAAATTTGTGAGTTCGTTCTCTTTTTCGATTTATATTATAGTGAAACGCACATTGCATGTTCAAAAGACATTTGGCACTTAAAGCGCTTCAATTTTTGTATTGGAGTGACTATTATTCTTCCAATAAATAACATCCTTCGATATATCTACTTCATAAGTTGCTCATTGATATGAATAAATAGGCATTAGATACTCCTAAAACTTGTTGATTAATGGTAACAGAAAAATATTAAAGTAAACTTTAAGTAAAATGAATTACATCCAATAAATAACTGGATTAGGTAAGTACGTATTAGGTTAATATTAAATGAATGAATGATGAATATGTAAATATTCATCTTAATGCTATATAAATTATAAATTCAATTGACAACATTATTATTATTTCAAAGTAGTTAGTATGAAATTCTTGATAATTTTTCCCTTCGTATAAAATTTAATTTATCCGACGACCCTCGTACCAATACTTTTACGTAAGTGTCGTAAGGCGGCTTAGATGAGCGGATCGCGTGTTGTAGCATACCTTTCCATGTTCGAACCTTTCGAGATACCCACATTGAGACGATAATAGCTGATAAACAGAATTCTCCCTTTAAATTATTAATGATGCTTACAGGAAATATTTGGAAAAGGCGGTTATTATACCCGAAATGGTTTTAAATTTTCCGAAATAACGACGTCGCCTACGATGAAAACATTTCATTACCTACCGTGATTTGGAGCTAATGCAATTAATTAAACAGAAAGTTTTTTTTTCTGAAATATGTAAATTAAATTGATCGAACCGCAAAATCATTATTTGAATTTGAGTTGGAGTACAAACAGAAAGGACATATTGTAATAACTAATTAGTGTTGCAAACACAGTCCATTTCAACGCAGACTTTAATTAAAAGATGCTTAATATGAAAATATTTGGATAATGATTGTTAATATTGTCCTCGTTATGAAGCTAATTAGTAACTGAATTTTGTTGATTATTTCAGTGAAATTGACTACCCCCGTAATACGTGGGCATAGATACTTCCATAAAATAAATGTTTAAAGATAAAATAAAAAATATATACTCTCTAATCGGAATAATTAAGTTCATTCATCCAGTATATTTTCATTTAAGGTTAAAAGTTGGATGAATTACAGGGAAGCAATTATAAATATTTGCGCTGAAATGAGTCATTAGCGTTATTATTTAGTTTGTCGCAAACTTTGAACTCGGCGCTATAATTGCGATATTTATTTTCGTTGCATGTTGGAGCTGTTTTTGCTTAGTTGCAGTAAAGCGCTAATTGAACGAGCACCGTGTTCGAACGCATCAGAAAACAGTCCCTTCGATATAGGAAGTGCGATATATAATGGCGAGATTCACGCTACATCATTTTCGTTACGTTGTTTTAGCGACTCTTTGTCGCCTTTGACGTCTGACATTGGCAAAAACTGCGAGAGATTGATTATCCGTCAGTGAGCGATAATACCTGCGGGGCCTTTCAAATTCTTACTTCGACGCGTTTCCTCAAAAATTTCCCGCATATACCTAAGCCTTAATTAAGGCTTAAGCTTTACGTAACGTTTAACATACCAAATTAAATCCACTGTTTTAAAAGAGATTGCACCAAAAAATCAATCCGAACTCGTCATATTTCTAGCAGAAATATTATACATATTTCTTGAATGGAAATAAGTTATAGAGCTTTATTAAATCCAACAATTTTGTATCAAAAGGTGTTCATGTCATTTTAAAACACAATATTTGTCAAATTAGTTCCAGCTATTAGCTTATTTTTTTTGAAAAATTTCATCGTTTTTATTTTCAATTTCTACTATTTTTATGGTAAATAGTTCAAAGCATAATATACATCAGTATTCAGATCATTAGTAAATTGTGAGGAGTCGAAAACAAAAGCTCTCGGTGGTTGGATCACTTTGTCACTCATATCAAAATATACAGATGTGGTATGTTGATATTCTACATCATATACATATGAGTGCGCAAATTACTATAAATTCTGTAGGAACTGTGACTGTAAATTACTTTGTGTCATGGCGGTGGAATGGCAATATTTGCTCTAGAATTTATCATCAGAAACTGGAAACTTTATGGTCAAGGTGATAAACAACTGGTATCTGATATCCTGTCGAAAGTTGTGGAGCAGTTGTTAAACTTCAAGTGAGTACTCCTGAAACTTAATAATAATTGAAAATCAACACATACATTAACCTAGATATTCGGTTGAAATGCTGAAGGATCGAGATCCGGAGCAAAATTACTGCAAATGCAATGCAGCAATGATTCACAAGGGTGTATTTATGTCTGATCCATACGTAGAAGAATAAATATTGTTATTGGAATTTCGAGAAGCAAACAAAAATCGTTGATAGATTGAAAGTTTTCTTATACACCTATGTATCACTATAAAAAATTGTTTCCTTTATAAATAAATATATATCCTAAAAAAATCTATGAGTTGAAAACGTATTATGTAAATTTATGTCTACGATCCATCTTAACGCTTTAGAATCGAATCTGATAAGAAAAATAACTCGTCCTACATTCTCTTCCGTTTTTGTTTTCCTTTTTTTGTATAATATTCAATCGAGTACTAGAGCAGCCACAACGCGTCCCGTCCAGCCATGACTTTCCAATATTTCTGTTTAACTTTCACAATCGATTTCACTCCACCGTCATAAGAACAAAAAACTAAATCGAATATTGGTACATATCCCCTTAACACATTTATGTTTCATAGATAAACGACTGAGACAATTCTTTAAGATGTCCCTTAGATGCCATTTTTGTAACAGGATCTACTTAAAACAACGAACTTTTTTCCAAAAAAAATTATAGTTTAATGATTAACACCTTTAAATTATACATCTTCAATGCTACTATAATATGTTAATTTAAGTTCAGCGTACATTCAAGAAAACACCTGCCACTTAATCTTTGTAATATGGAAAAGCGTCACAAGCAGAAACACTAATTACCGTTACAGGTCGTCGGTCTGAGACGTCTTATTTTTAGCGACGATCTGTTCTTTTTACTCTCATACTCATATATGACCGTCCATTAGTGGAAAATGGAAAAATGAACGTCCGACAGAGGAAGGAAACATCGCACGCGAAATTAAAAACGACGGATTCCCTCTCTTAATTGTTATGTTCGCGTTTCACTACCTGCCAAATGCAATTGCAAGCCTGAGGGCCGTCGTTCTAGGTACTGTTATTGTTACAATTAATTTACTCGCTTCAATAAAAACCCCTAACATTCTTACAGTGATTTCTATTTCCTGCGTCGTGGGGGTACACCTGAAGGATTTCATATAATTTCGAAAACTGCTTTTATAGTCTTTTCCAGTCTAAATTACAAAGAATTTTTATTTTTTTAGCTTTTTTATATACTATTATCTTATCTTCTATCACCAAGTATTTCAAAAACGGTACATTTACGAACAATTTCCAATCCTGTGTAACAGGATATATGAAAAAAAAACACAAGAACAGCGTGTAGAATAATTTATTGTTAATATTAGATTTCCCTGTATAAACCCTGAGAATGTTATTTATTTAACGAACCCCAAACAACAGTGTAAGCTTCTTGGCTTACAACAGACTGTACATTGTACGATGTGATGCGGTTTTCCGCGATAACGATCCGTTAGTTACAGGTGTGCCCTTAATATGAAATTAACAAAGATATCTTTTAATTATAATCGAAAAACGTTGACGGAAACATCGATTCAACAACATTAATTAAATCTGTGAAGGGGGGGCGTGTTATTGAAGCTCCTTCGAATATTGTAAGCTTATTTTTCCGAATTTTCCTAATATAAACTCTGTTGTTTTAGTTGTCTTAATTATTTAATTAATCTTGGTTACATTTGGATGATGTAAGATCTACCCGAGCTTGAAATTTCCAGTTTGTATATTAATTATGGATGATGCTCCCAAGCTGGCTCCACGCCCCACATAAATTCGGCTCATTTCAACGGGACAGTCATGTCTTACTCGAAGGTCTTATTGTCTCATTGTCAAAATTACAGGGGTTATTACGATTGGTGATGAGTGTTTTCTCTCGTTGTATTACTAAACATCTTTTTAATTATTAATGCATAATTCATAATTCGCCCGTAAATTCAGTTGAAATGATTTAACTTATTTATTAACCAAACTGAGATTTAGATTTTTATTTCTACCTATTAATCATTTAATTTCCCGCGTTCAATAGTTTATTTATCGTTGCAAATGAAAACGAGTTTTGTTTTACAATAAAATTCAAATTAGAATAATTAATTTTCTAATACTAATTGATTTAATGAAAGTAACCGATCGGACGATTAATTTTTCGGCATAATTATTGAGCAGGTACTAGGTATTGAAGCGATTTGTTAACGAGACTTGTTAAATGAGTTCGGAGCCCGTTTGCATCGAAATTGATATAAAAGCTGCAGCAGTAAACTATTTAATGCCACGGAAAGGGCTCGATTACCTATATTGGAACAGGCTTCGTTAAAGCCTTTGATGACAACTTTCAACGTAACACTTAAAATTATGGGTTTCTGTAAGTATCGGCGCATTTTCCGGAAAATTTAATAAACTCGTCCTCTGATCCAGTTAAATGTCGATTTTTCACGGAGAATTTGTGTTTGTGATTTTTTTTTCATTAATAAAAAATCGGAATGAGTGATCATTTAATGTTTTCAAATGAATGATCAAGACGACGAAAGCAGCAATACGCTTGGAAGATAAATTATAACTGCGCATTAAACTTTAATATCGTCAGTAAACTTTTACCCGAAAGCAGATCAAAAGTATATACTATGATCGAATTGGGACCGACTCGAAGGCAAGAATCGGACCTCCGAAGGTTTTTCCGAATTTATTATTCCATGAGAATCGGAGTAAAATGAAAGTATAAAGGTAAAAGGTAAATATTTCAGGCAATAGAATTTTTTTTGAGAGGCAGCGGATACTTCCACTTTTATTTAGAGTTATTTCTCTTAGCGCTTACGTCTATGTGAAAAGGTTTTATTGCCGTTTAACGACTACAAATGTACAAGATACAAATCTCAAATTGTACCTTCGGTAAGCTTGAATGACCCGAATGATTCTATTGATATAAAAATTTTTCTTAAATTGTAGAAGTTTTATTTTTACAATCATACATTATTTATTTCTTCAGTCTATTTATATTTTTATGTTTGGAATTTCAAGCATATACTATTGAAATTTGATTATTGTAAATGAGAAATAGGGAGCACTACTGTAGTTGCAGTGGGTCGTCGAAAAGGATTTTACACGCTAGAAAGAACTCTTTTTTAATCTTATTGCGATCCGGCACAAATACATACATATAGGTTAGTCATTTTTAGGGCGAAATATTGCTACAAAAATTCCGTAATGCCAACAGGGCATATTTGTGCACAGAGCGCTTGTCAACTTTACACATATTTCATTATTTCCAGTTCGAGGCGCTTTTTTCTCCGAATGGAAGCAATAAAATACCTCGGAACTAACTGAAAAAATTGGATATAAAAAAACTTACACAATACCATGCCTTTATGTGTGTTAAAATAACTACAAAAGGAAAAATATATTTGTATAGGACTTTATAAAATTCTTCCTCGATATTGTAAGTTCTTCCATTTGAAATTTTGAAAAGCACCTTAAGTATCATAATAAATATTTGATACATAACATAATACAAATAAGGATAACCTATAATCTTCAAATGCTGCAACATGTATACTTGATTCATAATTTATTGATCCATGAGACATATAGGAAAAGTAGATTTTCCCCTAGAGATGCTCGCTTTTTTATTTTTGAATCAGAACAACTTCATGAATACAAAAATATCCATTAATTTTTCGATCTCTTACTATGCCCAAAAATGAAATGATTAAATTTGAATAATTTGTCTTTGTGTCGCATACTACACGTTATTTGAAATGACATAATTGCATAGCTGCACGCACCTAATGATAACCATAATAGCGAAAGGGAAATCTGAATGGTAATAACAACAAAAGCTTCGATGATTAATGCGAAAGAGTTAAGAACAAGATTGCTAATTTCGAATGGGGGCGAGGCAATTACAAACGTTTCTATTGTCCATTTTGGTCAAGTTATTCGAGGGATGCGAGTCTCTCGGCGCAGCTTATTCACCGAGACTTCTACTCCAATTAATTGAAGACCTTGCTGCTGCGAATCATTTGCATAACTATGCTTTAGTCGGTTTCAATTCTTGGCGCAACAATAGTTTTATACAATATCGGCCGGTCGATACAACACTTTTAATTATTTTCTAACAAAAGCCGGCCGTTAATTAATCGGGCATCAGCCGCTTATTCTAAAATTGCTTTCTCGCCAGTCTTCGGGTAACTATAAAACTCCTATAATAAATAGATGTACCTACACAATTTTATTATAGACACCAATTGAAGCAAAAAGTAATAGTAATAGAATTTTTAATAATAATTCCACACTTTTTTTGATCTTATTCGCTGCATAAGATCATTTAGCATTTTCTAGGTCAGTGAGAAGTGTGTTTTCAAATTACACAAAACCCCAAAACATCCCTCAATTCCTTCCGGATATCCAACATCTTTTTTTAATGTACTCTTTAAAAACTGGGCGCAATCAATCACTACCTCGGCCAAATCCCTTTAGTCGTGCGGAATCGTTGTCGATGAGGAAATTCGGATATCTTTATCCGACGAAAGTTCGCGAAGCCACAAGTTTTTCCGGAGCTAAATGAATGGTGATTCGGATTAGTCTGCGAGGCCCGTTATTTCAATTATTTCAAAATTCGAACATCGTCGACTTCGGTCCCGCGAGTTTTAAACGTTGTATTAGCAATTATAATGTCCCAGTGGGTTTCCGTCAACAAGAAAATGAATATCTTCTATCCCCTTTTTATTTTATTTTTTAAGCGCAAGTTGAAAGACCTAAAACTGGACAATTGGAAGCTACAAAAACAGTTTTTATAATTAATAATGAATTGAAATAAAATTAAAAAATTAAATCAGGGCTACATAATTTTAATCTTTGAGAATACTCTTTGTAGTAACGGTATTTGCTATCTGTATTATCATAAATTTTAGATATTTCTTAATCCATTATCAGGGTAAATAAGTTGTGTGAGAGTAAAATGCATTCACGCTGGCAGCGATCCTGGTTTCTCAACGGCGCAGCAGTAAAATGTTTGCAGTTATTTTTATGGTCATGCTGATAAATATTCCGTAACTGCTAATAGCAAAGAAATAAAATCGAATTGTTCGATTTCGACATGTGAGTGTATTCCAATCGAGTCCTTAAATTTTCCCTTAACTTGATTTATCGATTTGTTTTTCCCGGCCTTAATCAAATCCTGGTGTGAAAAGTAACAAAACCATTGTCAACAAGCTAGCTGTAATGCGTCTCTATCCGTACATTTGCGTCTATTTTTCCCTTTCCGTTAACTCTTTTCGCCCTTATCTCGGTTCCACTAATGCCTTTACTTACGACTTACAAGATCCAAATTAACGTCAATGGTATTACTACACACTCTCTAAACGGCCTTTGTTGTTTTATTCGCCCAAATTTAATAGATTAAAGACGGATGACGAATGTTATTATAAGAAATAAGAATTTGTGAATTAGTTCTATAATTAGCAATTTAACTATCTATATCTACCATTTAAATTATAATCATTTAGAAATAAAAAAAGTATTGATTTTATTTAAAAATGTACTTTATTTTTATTTTTAATAACCATTTTAACCACTTATTATTATGAAATATAAATATTACAAACGTCCGTATAGCGTAAAATATTTCAGATATGAAATTCGGCTCAAATTCAAGACAGCAGCACCATCTACTAGTTGCCTTTGAAATTTCGTGTAGGTGTACTGTATTGTATGCTGCGAAGGAATTACTGATATGCTCGTCTTCCTGCTATCCTGCTATTCATAGTTGTAATATTGGTGGCTTGTTCACCTGCAAGCGCGTCATAGCAACGAACTCTTAGCCCTGTGCGCGCTCAATTCCTCATTATCAGGTTTGTTCAATTTTTCTCTCGTTTGTGAATGTACCACTCGTATGGCGGACGCTACACTCAGAAAAACGAAAGGTTTCACTCCACTTAACGAGTCGTTAAATTGTAAAAAATATGTCCAGCATTTAGAAGAGCTAAATGTTTTTTACCTCACAGCAATTACGTTGCTCAATGCGTACCAATTAATTGTCTTTTTGAAACTAGCTGTTATGAATATTTATTTTTTTTAGTGTGCTCATAACACGTATAAAGTAGGTACTTTAACGATGTGTCCCTTTCCACATTCTGTGATCCTGGTTAAAGATTTTGATTTAGACTTAGAAAACCGGTTTAGCAGAAACTAGTTTTGCTTTAAGACAAAAGCGTTACTCTTTTTATAGGAATTAATTGCATTACGAGCGGAAATCGTTTCTATTAATTACTTAACAAATCTCAAGAGTGTCATCGCTTAAGAATTCTTAAGGAGAAAAGTTAGCTCTTGATTTGATTTATTCCAAATTTGTACAAACTTAAAAAGAATTAATTTCTTAAATTTAAGTAAGTTATTCCATAATTTTTATAAACGTGATATTACCTGTTCTTTTTTCTTACCTTATTTGAAATAATATCGGAAAGCAATTCGGCATAAAACCTATATTGCTCCAATAATTAAGAAAGTTTGCTCTTTGTCAATAAAAAGAAAAAACGTTATGTGATAATATAAAATATATAGGACAGTTTGCTGAATTCTGGTGATACTATAACTGTAGCTTTAATTAAAACTAATTAGCATGTCTTATATTAAACATGAAAGATGTGAGGATAATGTTTATAGCAATCTGAAGCGTTGGAGTCTTTAGACGAGTATTGAATGTGGATAAAAATGTTTCACTTTGTAGTGTTTGCAACTTTGTGTTTATCGATTAATGGTTTAAGTAATAACAAAGATAATTCGGGTGTTTTAATATCAAAATACTCTAAAGTAGCTAGATGGGGAAATAATAATTCATCGCAAGAAACTGGAAGAAATTTTAAAGCGCAGTCAATTTGGACACCAAGGTAAATAAACATATTAAATTTATTTTAATGATAATTACTGTAATTACATATTTTAGATCAAGTGCGAGTAACAGTGGTAAAAATCAAGTAGCTTACCAATATCCTACATATCATAAAATGGATAATCAAGAATCTGATAAAGTTCCAGGCATAGGTGAAGTAATCCAAGATCGTTTTCAAGTTAGACCGTATTTTGGTTTTGGAAAAACATCTCCTGCGCCTGTTTATACAGCACCAACTCCAGCTGCACAACGGCCAGTTATCGTTCCCTCTATACCTGCTGCTCCCGTTATTAACGTACCACCACCAATAGCTTCCCCTCAGTCTTTGCCAGCCCCAGTTCGTAGTGTAACTTTTAGTTTACCAGTAGTTTCATCAACACCACAAGTCCCTTCTAATCTCTATAATTCTCCTTTTACTTCTTATAATCCTCCCCCATCCAATCAAAATGCAGGTAATGGAGATAGTTTTCCTCCAAACGCACCAACGTCTAGTGATAGTAGTGCCGATTCTCCGCCATCAAACGGCGATTCGTACGCAGATATTCCCTTGTCTGATAGCGGCCCATACAATTATCAACCAGCAACTTCTTCACAACCTAAACCACCAAGCAAGCCTCATTTTAACGCACCTTATCCCGATTTGAATCAAGATTCTGGCAAAAATTCAGACAGCGGTCATTCGTATGGAAATAACGGTCCACCACATCCGCCTAAGAGTATTAATGATGTTTATTACCCGCCTGATTTTCCTAAAGATCAAATCCCTCATGATCATGATTCTCCTGAAATGCCAATGAATATCCCTCCGCCTCCAGACACTAATACTAAAGACGACATGACAGCGGATTTGGTTCCACCTACGCATGGCCACGACTTCCCCAAATACTTATACGACAGTCCCCATTACGACCATCACGTATACGAAGAAGTTCCTCATCCCACAACTCCTGCTCCGGAAAAGAAGAGAGTTAGCACAACAAATTACAGTTATTACTACTTGGGCCGAAAATTATGGTACATCCCCTTATATTTCAGCATATACTTCATGATTTACGTTACTGCCCTGATTATCAAATCGATAGCAAGGCATAAGGTTACACTGAGGAACGAATGGATAACGTCACACTCCAGAAGCGCCAGAGATACACTTGGAACACTAGATCACTTGGAAACTGTAGATAACATTCACAGGAATATTGCGTCGGCATTAGATAAGGCAGGAAAATTGTATTCTAATCTTTCGATGTAGAATTACTTATTTGTAATAAAATATAATTCATTCATGTATTCAGCCTATTGATTATTTAAAGTTTTGATCCTAATTTATACACACAGTGACAAAATTTCAATAATTACCATCCTAATTTCCAATGTCATTATCAGTACAATAACGAAAAATTAATTAGAAATAATATACTTAAACTGGCACATTATCGGAGCGATTTTGGCAAAATTATAAGTGAAATTATAAGTGGTTTCACAGTAAGTCTCAACATTTTTTAAATAAAAATATGTAATTATTTCAAAGTGTAATGGTCGACGGACATATCGCTCACCCCGTATTCTCGTTCCTTTATTATCGATATATGTAAGTGGAGGGGTGTACTATAAAATTAGAAAAGAAACGAGAATTCAGGGTGAGCCAATCATCCTACGAGAATAAGAATTATATAAAAAAATATTAACCTAATTAATTTGATTTATAAATACAATAAACGTCAGCCAAATATTTAAGCACGTTCACCTACATGACTAAATAAACATTATAATGTATTTGTTAATTGAATCGGTTCGAAAAAATACCGTTGTTCAAATCTTACTATTGATGATATATCGTTGTGAATGATAATCACGTAGTTACACATTAAGAATTCAGTACTTCGGTACATTTTTAACTCCGATATTAAAAAACTTAGCCGGAGTTTTGTTCATATATTAATATTCTTTTATAAGTTTTATTGTTTGTTAATCTAATAATTTTACGAAATTTATTGTTTGTTACAGTTTGAAAATAAGGACTCGAAAAATGGTAAATATATTTTTGGTTCTAAACGTTTTAAACTAAAATATACTTTATTTAGAAATTAACATCATAAAAACTCAAAACAAGCACTGCTTAACATTATAATTATTTCATTTAGCAGAATAAATATATATTATGTTTCAAGTAGAGTTAAAAATAAGGCTTAAAATAAAATCATTAATGCTGCTATATTTCCAGTTTGATGTACTACTGAAACACATTATATAGGTATTTAATAATATTAACATAAAAATGACAAGCAGTACATACATTTAAGTATCACAGATACGAAATGGTAATCATTTATACTAAAATCTTATACGGTAAATTGCAAACATCACAAATAAGTATACTATTAAGACAAAATTAAAAATACTGGAATTTCCGTAACAAATTTTTTGGTCTTTTTATGTCGTTTAATAAAATGGAAATGTCACTATCACTTTAGTTGTAAATAAGGCAAAGTATGATAATGCCTGAAAGCATTTACGTCTATATTAATTTGAGCTATTAATGCACAATCGCCAATATTTAAAATGAACATAGATAAACTAATATTACGAGTTAATTTTTTGAAAATTACCTACACAAATTGAAGCTTAATAGGGAGTTTTATACTATAAAAAATAAATTAAATTTACGTAATGTGTAAAGTGCTTCAAGAAATAATAACTTCTTCACTCGTCACTATTTAAAATCAAACTAAAATATCTAAAACATATTAGTTAAAACTCTTTATTTTATTTATCCTTCTTTGCAAATTTCCTTCAGACTTGCATAAAAGCTAATGTTGTTTAAGGAACTTTCGATAATGAATTTAAAAAAATTTACAATACTTCGTTTGTCAGGCAAAAAAACGGTTTTTACTACATATTATTTAGTACATAATCCCTATTACTACAAAAATATTGCATATAAATTGAATGTTCCCAAATACATGAAAAAACAAATCTATATAATTCTCTAAAAACTCATTTTAACCGGTTTCTTAGTCCTTATAAATCCTTCACAGACAACAATTTATGAGAAAACAAAAAAGGGTATTTAAAAAATTATTATTTTCTGAAAGAAATCCGTTTTTTTGAAAATACTGATAGTAAATGCCAGCCTTTTTTCGCTGGCGATCAAACTTTACCATTGGCTTTAATATGTTCAACTTTATCCTGTTCATCTTCCTCTTCATCACCTTCAGTAGTCTCGTAAGCTGGATTACACATTGCATCCTCAAATACAACAGGCAAGTCGGCTTGAATCTCTGCTAATTCGGCTTTTTCGGCTTTGGACTTCAAATTTATATCGGTAAAACCTTCCGGAGCTTTATCCTTCTTCGTTATGTCCGTACCTTGTGATGGGTGTTGCTTCATGTACATGTGATAAAACGATACGTAAATCACGCCGATAAGAATTATTGCTACCGAAAAACACTGGAATGTGTGACGAATTCCTATCAATTCTATTAAGTATCCACCGATTAAACTGCCTATTCCTTTTCCTGAAACGCGTATATTGAAATATTACTGTTATCAGTAATAATGAAGACTGTAATATTTCACTTACCAACTCCATAATATAAGCCTCCCAGCATTCCTTGAATACTGGTATCAGTTGTCACAGTGGATAATTTTGCAGCGTAAGTAACAGCTGCCGTAAAACTAAGTCCAAATGTAACAGATTCCATGGCTTCAAATACAAGGCAGAACCAAGGGTTGTATATTAACGAGTATCCCATTAATCTTATAGCATAGAAAATGAAGCCAATAAATATAACATTGGCATGCCCTATTTTTTTAATGATAGGACCTGAGAGGATTAGTAAAGGAATACCCACAATTCCTCCTACTGTAACTGTAAGACCCATCAATGATTTGGATCCGCCGAGATCGTCCAACAGCCAGAAGAGAAAACTTTCAATGAAACCCCAAGCACAGCCTAAACAATACAATAGTTACTTGATAATAGTACTTGGTACAAGGATGAGTAACTTACCTAAAATTACGCAGGACATGAAAAGAGCTATTAGTTCAACTTTTTTAAGTACTTCTATCACATCAGTTATAACACTGGAAGCTGCTTTTTTGAATTCCAAGTTTATAAAAAGCATCAAAACTCCACTAATAACTTTCAAGGCAGCGTACAAAAAGAATACAGGTCTGCAATAGAAGATTTTATCAATGTAGAACACTAAAGGTATAGCACCACAAGAAAGCATCCCATGTTCACTGAGTAGAGTACCAGGAATGCCAAAGAAATGAAAATATTACAGATGCATAGGAAAATACGAATAAATAGTCCTGGCAGTAGATATTGACTAAAGGAAAGAAGTAGAAGTATTCAAAATAAGTACTGGCTTACCTAAAATCAGTGTATCCTTTGCCTCTGCTAGCATAATCGATCATCCAACCAGATATAGGCGAACTGATCATTCCTCCGATAGTGGCATATATTCTTTGTAAACCATAGTCAGCTTTGTGTTCTCTTAGTATGGCTATTACTGCTCCTTCGAACATGGCAAAAGCAGTACCACTGATAATTCCGACGAACACGCGTACACAAAGATAGGACCAAAACGTTAGGCTCATGTCCAGCTCGACTGCTGTCTTCTGATTTGTGCAAACAGTGTTTCGAGGACTAGTCGCTATGCATTTATGCGAACAACTGCCCAAATCGAGATGTTTGATTGTGGATTCGTTTGAATTAACTGGTATAGTAACTGAGATATGTTTGGCTAAGATCGCTTTATTTTCTAGGCAAGTAATGTTAGATTGGCGTTTTGTACTTATAAAATCAACATTGTATGTTTGTCGTGATTCTTCGGTGTCGCTATGATCAGTGAGTTTTAAACGTATTCCGGCTTTCCAGGGGTTTGATATTTTCTGGAAACCATCGAGTTCATCGTTTGTACCCAACAGACAATTGGTGAGTCCATTTTCGGCCATATTACATGAGAAATTATACACGGAAACTGTAGGAAAATAGAATGAATTTTTGGACAATTTTCTTATGGAGGTCCTGTATCTTTCATTATTTTTCAATTTTATTTTGCTGCGTCTTCTTGGCATCTTCTCTGGTTCAAAAATGTCATCTTCGCTTAATTTGTAAGTGTATATTATAGTGGAATTTTTTGGTATGTCGTATATTTGAATGTCGTAACTTCTCGTGCCTAAAATTATCTTGGAGTAGTTTTTGCTCAACACTGCCTGGCAGGCGAAACCGCACGATTCCATCTTAATATCCGTATCTATTATCGAATCGCTGTGTATCGGTACGCAAGGATGTTCCTGGTACAACGTTAACAAAGGCGTCGAGTTAGTGTCGCAGGTTAAACCAAAAATTATTTTGTCTGGATAAGTTAGGGTGACTCTTCCTACGGGCACGAGCAGTAATAGTAGAGCAGCACCACCGCCTATACCCGAAAAGGCGGCAAGTAACACCTGCAAAACATCAGAAATTTCTCTTTATATGGAAAAAATAAATTGTCCTAATTTTTGAGTGATTAAAAAAGACACGTGTTCATTTTTTAATCGAAATGCTTCGGCAAAAATGAATAATCGTATCACGCTCCGGCAATTCTCATTAATATGGCTTTATAACATTATTATAACATTATATAATCTATTAAAGTACTCATTTAAAATTTAATGTTATTACTCGGATTACTAATCAACGAATTATTTTTATTAGAAAAATTTTGTTGTGTTTTGTCATTTCAATCAATATTTTTAAGGGTATTATATAATATAAAATTAGTAAATATTTATGCTTGATTGAAGAATAAACTGTTAATAATTGATGTTCAATTTAAATTAATTTTGTACAAAAGTCTCTCATAAAGTTGAATTTGGTTAAAAGGAACATTCAATCTAATAGTAATTTGAGTTATATTTTCATTTCGTTGATAAATGAATGAATGTTTACATGCAGAGAAATCAATGAAATAATTTAATCTCGATAGGAATTAATTAACTTATTAATACAATATTTTTCTTAGGCGCCTATTTTTAAAAACAGACTTTAGAAAAACTGATAATTAAAAATGAATGCGTTTATTAATGACTCGGCTAGGAACATTTCTTATTGGTTCTTTCCTTTATCTTGTAAGTAAATTGGAAATATATGTATATTTATATTGCCATATAAATATGAACAATGCAAAATCACAAAAAGAAGCATGATAATGCATTTATGGAAATTCTCAACTCCATAATAACTTTACAGAATTGATTAATAATACTTAAAGATTATAAATGTACATTTTATAACAATACTATAAACACCGTAAGCCGTAAATAAGGAAAATTTATCGGATTTTAAAACAGTTATTTATTGTATTGAAGGTAACATCGGTGTGCTCGAAAATATTTTACACCTATGTACATATACATATTACTCCAACATTTAGTTTAAAGTAACATAGAAAAAAAACATCCAATTGTGCAATTGCCGTTAATCTATTAAAATTTCACATGACCTTCTCATTCCACAGTAGACATCAGTAAAATTCTTTGAAACATACCTGTTATTTATTATTCCTATAAAACTGTTGATAAAAAAACGGAATTTACGAAATATTTCTAGTACTTACAAATTATATTTTTAACATTGAACACGGTTAACGTTATTTTTTATAAAAGTATAATGAGTACATAGCATTATAAAAAGCAATATACCCAGAATAATTATTCCGGGTACATAACAGCAAGTTGAATAGCGTGACAGAAGGAAATAGAGAAAAAAAGAGAAGTTGACAAGGAGACTTGTAGAGCAGGCAATGAATAAAATCATTTTCATAATACTAAACTTACTCTAAAATTTCCTATTTTGTCGGCTATCATTCCAGCTATCGGTGGCATTAGAATAGCAACGGCCGGTGTAATTGCAGACATTATAGCAGTTTCTTCCACGTTTATTCCCAATTCTCTCATATGTATTGTTAAGTAAGGATACAGAACCAGTATGGCTAAAAAAATAAACTTTTAATTTTCTTCTTTAGTTCATTGCTTTATTTAGCAAATAATGGCAGGAGTTCTATGTTATAGCAAATATACCGAATCTAATATTCACTTACTAGAGGAATGCATGAAAAATAGCAACTTCAATGGAAGCAATTCCTTTTGTTTTAGGTCTTTTATAACCCGATGAAAAAATAACTTCAGATATTTATTCATCTTGTAGGCTATTCGTTCTCCATTAAACCTACAATAAAAGCATTTAAATTAAAAGTCGAGTAAGTAGGAAATGCCGAAAAAATATTTTTTATTGAATTATTTAAAAATTTAGTACTTAATATAATCTGGTAATACTTCTCCATGGTTGTTTTCCTACATCCGTAAAATATGCAATTGACATTATATAAGAGGTTTACTATTGAATTTTGATAATTCAGGACCATCCAAATTATAAATGGGTTTTATCATTAAAAAAAGTAAAATATTCACGATCAATATTTGTTATTTTTTTAATTAATTATAGTTAATCAGCTAAATAAGTGTAATATGTGTTATGCGTATTTACAACTAGCCAAATTTATCGCACTTGAGTAAAAACTAACTATTGTTTACACATATACTCGTAATTACCTTTACTGTGAAATCCAATTATTTATAAAGACTCATCAACCTTCTCGCAAGAGAGCAAATTAATATCATGAACGTGTTAATTTATATTTTTCTTAACTATTTCGTTGAGGAATTTATTCCGCATTTACATACTTATGTTAAATTTGGAAAAATTTAAAAATCTTCGATAGCACTGAAATGTTAATAATCCTGCAAATTTGTAGGTAAATAATCCTGGTATGTACTGCACTAATATTGATTTATATCATCCATTATAATTTCGAAAACAGTCAATAATAAATAAAATTTCAATTTTATTACCGAACAATTGTTGTGCGATAACAATGCGAGTCGTTTGCACACGCCAAATTTAGATACAGGGAAAATTATTATTAAATTATAAAATTATATTATAGAATAATAGTAAAGAATTATAAATCATTCAGCATATGCTTATTTTACTTTTATGCTATGTAAATGAATTGAAAAAATCAAATGAAATAAAAAGAGTGGGAAATACAATCATCTTCCATCTAATTACTTAGATCAATTTCAGTACATTTTTGAATTCCTTTTAATAAAAAAATGCACTAATATAGTTTCAGGTCAAAAATCACACACACGTTATTTATAGTTTCATTGGAACCTGATTCTATTCAACAATTTTGTACTATTACCTAATGAAGTACACTAATGAACACATAGGAGACCATTAGTAGAGAGATATTATTAATTTTTCTATTTCTAAGCATTTACATACCATTGCAAATATCCCAAAACATGCAGAGGTTTGCTATTTCATATGTATGGTACGTACGCAGGTATACATACGAAAAAATTTCATACGAAAACGCTATTTAGATTTGGTTTGTTATTTATTCGTTATTTACTTTCCGTGAACAATGAGCAGTCATTAATTGGGTTGTCTGAATAGGCCACGTATTAAATTGAGCGTTTTCTATAAAGAATTTTTTAAACATCATTGCGAATGAATCAAAGCATTGCACGGCGTTCGAATTGGAATTGTTTGTTCGTGTGAAAATATTTTAATTACTTCTCATTTTGTTGTTAGATAAATCGATTCACAGTCGAATAAAATATGTAGTACTAAAATTTCCGGCTGGGATGATCGAAAACGGACTTTTAAAAAAAATCAGTATAATTTATAGTTGCAGGAATGGTTAGGTAGAACATTAATATAATAATTTTTTGTATACAAGGTCGATCATAGAGTGTAATTGTAGTATGTGGAATGCTGTAAAAATGATGTGCAAATTATACAAAATGGTTGTTTTTAATAACTTAACCGATTTTTGCCAATGGTTATTTTTTGTATGTAGGTACATACATAACTATTTTTGGTAGACGGAAATTCCTAAGAAATTACTGGAAATAATAAATTGTGTTAGCAATCCGGGCACGTTAGGTAATGCCACAATTGTAATCAGATAACTGTAACCTTTATTATTTCACTCAGTGGACAAACCTTGAAAAATAATTCTCCGATAAATTTAATCCCCAATGCTACTTTACGCCGAACATGTTTCGCATCGAAAACAATACAGGAATACCTCAATAATAAGGACTGTCTCGGTCAACTAATTAATATCAACGTCATGCGATAATCTAATTACTACGCTTATAAGCATTTGTCGGATGCTAATTTCAAGACAATTTTTTAATAGGTATCAACCAATTTGTGCGCAAATCAAATAATGGTTTAACCCTTAATAATATCCTAACTAATACGACGGTAACTTTCCATGTTTACATACAGTTTTATTTATTTTTGACATACTAGCCTAGAATATTCTGCGAATATTGTAGTAAAAATTGTACTTAAATAATCCGTTATGCACCTACTTTTAAATGAGTTAAATACAAATATTTTTTTTATTCATACCTAACTGTACATTAGATTCTCAGATTTAGTGATTAATAATTTAAACTACAATTAACTTTGGCAGATAAGCATTTATCAAATCAGGGGTAATACTCTCCATATATTTTGGTAATAGGCAAATAAAACAAAAAAATTACGAAATTCTTAAGTAGTACTCAAATCCGTGTGAATGAATATTTTGAGGTCACGTGTACACATGAATGGTCTTCTATTGCATAACAAATACGTTCTAAGATTTTACTGAAAGTAATTGTATTGTAATAACTTTTACTTTTAGATGAGATTTAGACAAAATCTCGACAAGGTCTATTAGAAAACAATGCAAATAATTAGTTAATAATGACAGTACAGTAATATTATCACCAATGTTCCTTTATTCACCACATTGATTTCGACTAAAAAATGTCAAGCTCCATTAATAATTTTCTTTACAAGGCGTTTCCTAAACTTTCTTAATCGTTTCAAAATCTGTAGCAAAAAAGCAATCGCAGGTTATTGACTGGACAAGTTTCAATATACAATAATTTTACAATACTGTTTATTAGTTAAAGTCGATACATGGATATCATTTTTTTGTAAAATAAATTACTGTAGCATTAAATAACCAATTCACACAAAATTTTATAGATAAAATAGTTTTATGCAATATTTGCCAACGTATGTACTATGTACGAAATAATAATTTCTTGTTTCCAAAAAAAACTTTATATTATAACAATATTTCTCTAGTGATTTGTGTATTTAATATCGTTATATACATAGGAACACGTTTATAATCTCTACTGTAGAACAATGTCAGTTGTAATAACAGGAAATGTTTAGGACAATAAAAAATAATTCAATTACTTGCTCAATAATAACTATATGATTATTTGTCGTTGCTAAGATTTTCGAGTTAAAAATGCAAATATAATAATTCCATACCAGTTTTAGAAAGAGTAGGCTTTTAACCTTTCGTTCGACATTAGTTTGAAGCTTGTTAAATAATTTAAATGCCTACTTTACCAAACTTACTGTATGAATATTAACAAAAACATCGTTACAAAATTCAATTTCCTACATTTGAATATCCTAACTTTAAATTTTGCAGCAAGGATAATTATAGGATTAAACCTTGATTTCGAAATATTCCGAAGAGGTTTCCGTAAAAAGCTGCAACAAGGTTGAGAATCAAATGCAGTTTGAATATTATTAATGTAAAATTACATATAGCAGTGTGCAAGAAAATTGTCCTTAGTATTTTATAATATTTGTAAAAAGAATAATATTAATTTATAATAAGATATCGAAGGAAAGGTCAGTACCTACATTTTATTCTGGACGTGACTTATTCAAGACTTTTTCAATAAACCTGACACGAAAATAAATATACTTATATGTCCATAATTAAGGCTGGTCATTATTTTTTTATATAATTGTTAAATAACTTAATGCAGTAGATATTTTCTCATTATGTATAAAAAACTCGCAACATAATTAAAAATCAAATCAATTGAAGGTAAACTCAACTTATGTCCAATAAAGTAAAATATTTTACATTCCTTTCCCTCTTCATTGTAGCTGTATCTGAACAATCACGATTATACAAACTATTTGCATTATTAATTAATCTTCGATCGTAATAAGCAGGTATTACAAAAATGTCTATAGTACTCATCGAACTATCGATGTTTTAATAGGGTAACTTGTATTTAAGTAATAGATAAAAACGTGTATGTATTATTGATTTGCATTGTCATTATCCTTTAAATTAGGCAAACTCTTAAAATACGGACCGAAGTTTTATATTACAAAGAATTGTTGATTCTAAAATATTGTAAATATGTAGTACAGAAAGCATGCAATCTAAAAATATTACCAGATAATTTCTCGCATTTTTCATATAAACAAGTTTAATAAACTTTTACAACCGATACTGTTAGATATGCATCAATTAGGTGTTTAATACTAGTCACGTCCTTTTTAACATTTGTATTATCATTTTCCTCAACAATTATTGGAAATATTCGCTAAAATATTACTTTCCACAATCAATAATAGAATTGTTTCGATATCAGTAAGAAGCATGTTGTGGTAACAGCAGATTAGAATTAGTAAGATTAGAAACAAATCAGAGTTTAATAAAATAAAATTAGATTTTTTTGCAATTTTTAATTGCAAGATTGCAATGCTTTCGATTTAAATTCTCGAAATACGTTAAATTGATGTTATTCGAATACTAAAGCTATTGGAATTAAATGCATTAAAATTTCAACGGTATTAAAAATATTATTTTGTTCGTCCTTAAAAATAGAATTTGTAAAAACTGACACGACGGCAAATAACTAAATTGTATAAACACATTAGATGAATTTGCAAAAAAATCGCTCCAATTTCCCCTATTAATTAATTTCCATTTACCTTGACTTATATTAATTATTTCAGGATTATTATATATTACTTCAATTTTTCCGGTTAATGTGTATCAGTCTACGTAAGTAGCAATTCAATTTAATGTTGTTTTCATTTTCCTGTGATTGGCGTCTACATAATAAAATATTTTTTTGTTCAAAAAATTGCAATTTTCAATTCGCTTATAAATTTACCCTGAATTTTAATTTATATATAAACTATATAAAAGCAAATTGGTGTTTACACTTAGTTGCAAAATATTTATTAATATTGTTTGTGTATTCTAAATTCGAGTAGGGTCTGCAAAACATTTTAAACTATAAATTAAACCACATCAAAACAAAATAAATGCATTTTAGTAGCATTTAAAATGATCAAAAATCAGACCTTGCATCAAAAACCTCAGACTTAAACTCGATTGAACGCAACGCATCTTTCGAAAATGAAACCTACTTACCATACAAATCCTCCTTTTAACAAGCCCTTCGAAAGTAAATACCTTAATCCAAATTGTGTCACAACATAAATAAACTAATAATGTGAGCACACCTTCGAAAAACACAATTCGAATCGAGGCAGGATGAAATCAATTGATGTATGAACACCGACAAATCTAGCACCACTACGTATGGTACTCGCTGATTGTGAATGCGAATATACCAATATCAGAACCGTTCTGGGTCCGATGAGTATGATAGTCGTATGTGCGACTATAAGTAGTTTGATTTTAACTTAATTCACAGTGCGTTACACAATGTAGTGTCAGGTGAGAGACACGGTCGCAAAAATGTTAATGTTTCTTTGACAAGATTTTATTTATAAATATTGATTGTGTTGTTTAATAGAGGTCCAAGCACACGTGGAAAGAAATCACATTGAATGTTTGATTAAATTTATTTTTTCCAAGAAGTAAAATATATTTTCACTTTATGGAGATTTTGTGTATTTTTTTAATTTGCAGTTTTCGAATTCAATTAGACTCTTTGCAACTTCAACAAGAATTAAGATGTAAATATTATTTACGTCACGGTCATCATGGAGTGATTTGGTTCTAATTCGAGGAACTTGCCAATATTGAGTTTTGAAGTCAAGTGAAGAAATTAATTTCTTTAAAAGAATTTATATTTATTGTGTGCACTACCCTTATGTTTCTTTAGCTCCCATCCGAGTATAGGCAATAAATAAAAACAAAAAATATACTAAAACATTCCTATATTACATGTTATAAATTTAAAATGATGAACGCATTTCTATGATATGAACTAAATTTAAATTATCAAGAGGCACATTAACTACTATTTACATAAATACAATAAAATTAATTATCACACTAAAAATTTCGAGTCTCTTCTGTTAAAAAATATCAATTTGTAAATTAAAGTGGTTCAGTTTTTTCAGTGGTGCAGTTCCTTTCGTCGCTTCCATCGCTGCACTCGATGAAACCGTTGCACAACCTACTTTCAGGTAGGCACTCTCCCAAAGGGCATCTATGGCCAGTGCAAGGGTCTTTTAATATTTCATTTTCGGCGTTTAATTGATCATTGTTAATAATAAATTTGATCCATTCAACGTAATTTGCTACTTTTGTGTATATGCCAGGTCTGTTGGCTCTTGCACAACCATATCCGTTGCTTGTTACACCTATAATGATAGTGGTTTATTAATAATTTTGCAAGAAAAAAAGAAGGGAAATTAATTTAACCTTGCAGTATCCATCTGCCGTTGGATTCTAAGCACATAAGCGGCCCTCCTGAATCTCCAAGACAAGCGTCTCTGCCGCCTCTTTCGTAACCAGCGCAAAACATATCTTCTGTTATGCGATATAATGATAAAAATAATGTTCTTTTTCTGCATTCTGACGTAGAAATAACTGGAACTTGTACTTCTTGGAGAGTATCCGCTGCAGATCAAAACGTTGATTAGCATTCTTATGTAATTTTAGATTGAATAACTTACGAAAAATCCTTCCAACCTCAAACAATTGCCCCCAACCAACGACAGTGCATAATTTTCCATCGGCAGGCACTTGGTTAGGTTGGGGCAAACAAACTGGTCTTACGTAATCGCTAAATATTACAGGTGATTTTAATTTTAACAATGAAATATCGTTGATAAAACCTGAATCTATGTAACCTGGGTGTACTATTATCTTTACTACTGGCTGTAATTGTTCATAAGGTGAGGGCATTGAAGTTCCACGTCTCAACGCTCCCAACCTTGCCACCCAATATTCGTCCTGAGAACTACAAATATTTTTATTTAATGTGCAATCTTCTGAATAGGGTTTTAACTTACTGGTAAAAACAATGTCCAGCTGATACAAGCCATTGATCTGATAGCAATGTTGCGCCACATTGGAACTCACCTTCTTTATAAAGGGCTGCTTGCCAAGGCCACGATCCCAATCCAGCGTTTCCACCACCAACGACTCTGTAATTTAAAATAGCAATTTTTCTTTACACAAAACTACTTACGAGTATATGCTTTACCTCGCTATGTGCTTAACAACTTGAGGTCTGGCTCCACATTCCAGCGACTGGCATTCAACTTTAATAATCTTTTTATCAGTGCAATTCGATTTCTTAAACGATAAGCTCGATTTCTTCTGGTTTTGAATTGATAGCGCTAATTCGAAATATTCCGAAGTGTTTTTGTCGCTTTGGTTTTCAATTACAGTTCGTATCGAAGACATGCTTCTGAAATCAATTATCGCATATCACGTTTCTATCGCAACAACATACTTCGCGGGTGTGTACGGGTATAATAGATTGAATTTTACTGAATAAAAGGCTCCTCTAAGCTAATAAACAAGGAATATTCGAATAATAATGGAAGGTATCGATTATTTGTACTATTGTTGTATTAATAGTAGAATGAGACACCAAATATGTTGGTCGAGGATCGTTAGGTACATATTTTAATGCTAATATTCTTACTGGTATGTCATTGATTTGCACACGGCTTGTCCTAGATCTGGAATTTGCCATGCTATACGAGTTGAATTGACGACTGATTCAAAATTATCAATGCACAATTTTCCCCATTTTCCATATTTTCTCACCATCAGATAACCTACAATTATTTGTTTAAAAATACTCTTTGCTCGGTACACGGAAAGTTACCTCCTGAATAATAAGGAAATTTATCAGCTGATTCTACGTCAGAAGAAATAGTAACACACTGCCTTTCATCGTCCCCTTGCGGGCAATCCTTGAATCCATCGCATATTTTATCTTTGTTTATACAAACCTTTGAATTACTGCAAACATACTGATCAGGTTGACACCATTCTAAAATTATTTTGTCGTCTTACAATTGACCTATTTGCTTTATTAGACAACAAATAAAATTTACCGCAGTGATTCTCGTCGGAGTAATCCCAACAATCGACCACTCCGTCGCAAATTTTTCCCAACAAGTATTGAGATTTCAAGTAATCGGCGCAATTGCAATTATCCTCATCAGCTCCATCATTACAATCTATTAATTGGTTGCATTTTGCTGTTTCCGGTAAGCACGTACCGTCACCGCAAAAAACAGAAGCATTTGTGCAATCTACAACAAAATCTATGTTTAGTCATTAAATATAATTTTTAGTAGACAGAACTTACCTGATGTATTTCCTTTTAATGAAGTGTCATTAGAAGAAACATTGATTTTATTCAAAGATTTCGTCAATACTGACAATCCGTTTAGATTTGAATAACTAGCCGATACCGCTTTGTTCGATATAAGTGTTTCCGGTTGAAATATACTAGCGTTATTTGTTATTTTACTTATTTCTGCTAATTGTTTAATTTCTTCAGCGGTCAATATGTTAGAAATGTTAGTTTCGGCGGAATGAGATGAATTGCTTAAATGACCATTAGGCTGCTTCAATTTGGAGTAACTGGTTGTTGTTTCGTCCATCTTGGGATACCTAAGTAAATCGACAGACTCTTCGGTAGCGAAATTCAAAATTCCCATTACTTTAAAGTCTTCGTTAATATTTTTAGTAGAGTTGATAACATTGGTGAAAAATGAACTGGTGGGAAAACTACGGTTCTCCAAAGATGCGTTAGCTTCTACTGAGTGATAAGGCCGCTTTCTTATTGGCCTTCCTATCCCGGAGTTCGACTTAACTGGAAGTAAAGTAACTAAAGAATGTTTTGTTGTTTGTTGTATTAGTTCATCTTCATCATCAACGACTTCCACTTGACCTTGTCCAGAAACTGGTTCTTCTTTGGGTTTCGCCGTGCTGCTGCCAAAATCCACTAAACTTATGCTTAAGTTGGAAGTGTCCAACGATGAAGTAAGCGTGTGAAATATTGAAGAAATATTACGCAACAACTGATCTCTGTTATCAGAATTTTCTTCGGTTTTCTTGTTTGGAACGTATTTAAATGTTTCTATTTCTACGAATTCCGAAGTCTCTAATTTTGGTGTTATAGGTTCCATAGGTTTCTCTTTAAAAGGTTCTGTGGAAGTATCTGGCAGATTTGTTGGCAAACGATCCTGTTGGTTCTGTGTGGGGTAAGTTACAGATTGTGTGGTAGGAATTTTATTAACTGGAATTGGATGACTTTTGAGGCTAGTTGTACCCAATAATTCAGCCTCCCTAAAATTGTAGGATAATCCAGGATTTACAAAACTGGTGTAAATAGGATGATCACCTGTTGCAGTAGGTACAGTCGGGTTTAAATAATAGTGATTGTTTAATACCGGCTTAAATTGTTTATCGGGTGAAGCATTTGGAAGTATTGGAACCCACGGAGCTTCATCGAATGGATTGATCAAAAATACGGGCTTGGTAGATTGTTCAGTTGTAGTTGTAATTCTAGACGTAGTGAAAATGGTAGTGAGTTTTTTTGTGGTAGTTGAAGGTGTAGTTGTAGTTGGCTTCGTGGATGAATAAATTTCGACATCTTCGTTTTTGGTAACTTTCTCTACTGCTGCAATTTTGTACAACGCACTTGTAACTGAAGAATCTCTAAAGGTGCTCTTTTTCGTGTAGGTTGCTTGCGTCGTTTTTTCGGTTGGCCTGGGTTTATTTGTGGAATGATCAGTCTTTTTTTCTGTAATATCAGCGTCGGTTTTACTTATTTTAAAAGATCCTTGAACAACTGGTAGAACGTCTTCTTTAGCTATATCCGTTTCTTCAACAATGGGTTTTTTTGTAGGAATGGTTAAAACTGGAGATGTTTTGTTAAAGGATTTTAAAATGACGTTTTTTGAAGAAACCGTGGAAGAGTGATTTGAAGGAATTATCAGCGAAGAACTGGGATTAATGTGTTGAATAGCATCGTTATTTAATGCTTGTTTCACCGTTATTTGCCTAGGATCGAATCGAATGTTTTTAAAAATAGGATGCCTCGAAATCGCATCTGTTATTAAAATGTCTTTAATAACTTTTTCAATATTTGGCACATTCCTACAATAAAAATTCAACGTTAATAATGGGTTATTAATGTATTAATCATGTAATATACGTACTTAGTTATTTTTAAACGATTAAATAATAATTTAAAGTACACCGTAAGGGTGTCGTTTCCGAATTTTTCGATTATACAAGATACGAATGCATGTCCCAAAACACTTCTTTGGTACATGGCTTCAAAACTCCTTTTATATCTACGAGCCTTCTCTTGCAGAGCTCCTATAAATCTATCTCCTTTTACAATTTTGGCGCTACAGCTAAACGTGAGAGGTACTAAAAATTAGGTTACAATAAATAATAAAGCTTCACTCGTGTTTTATTATCTTTACCATTAGGGGTTTCTGTATGCAGGACACCCATATACAGAGCTAACCCAGCGATCGCTAATACAGCTACTAATACTACGAACGAAGCTACAGCTAACGCTATAGAACACAGCTTCCCTTTTGAAGATTTGTATTCGATTCCAACGCATGACACCGGCGTCGGCGGAGGTCTCTCCTGCCATGGATAAGTAAGTGTAAGGGACGAGGTTGAACGACGCCCAGTGCAATTTTGGATTGCATAGTCATTCTAAAAAAATAAAAATAAAAATCAGAACTATGTATTTATTTAACACAAATTTAATTCGAATATAACATTTTAATCGTCACAGTTTAATTTTTGACAAATATTTTTCCCAGTCCAATCGACTCATTGTTTTTTCACTCTGCCTCATCGAATGAAACGATTTGTTTTAAAACATGAAATGAGGTGATTAATAACGTTGAGTCGTCTTGGAAACCGTACGAAAATTAAATCGTGAGAGGACAGCGTGCCGAGACACGGTGAATCCGTTACACAATTTTCATCGAAAAAATACGCAGTTATTCGACAAAACAATTGATGAAAGAGATTATTATTTTATGAAGATGGTATTGTGTAAGTTTTAATCTCGTTCATCTTTTATTCGTTAGGCTGAAATGGAAATATCGTCCCGTTATTTCGATTTTTTTGTCGAGTTGTGAAATTTGCCACACCGATGCACACACAATAAACAAGGAAATGGGATTTGGGAACTTTCCGGAACGTGAAATAAATACTATTAATATAATTTGATTACTCAAGTGAGATGAAAACTCTTCATCTAGAAAATGAAAACATATGTAACTTATTATTAGAAAAAAATTAAAAAGTTCACGCTAGCCTGCTGGGTATTATTACAAATAATTACAATAAAAAATCGTTATTATTATACTCATTAGACATGACTGAACTGCTTCAAATCTATATATGAAAATAATCGGAATCACTTTCATATATTATAATTTTAATTGAGCTTAAAGACCAATAAAATTGAGCGATTATATAGGTTATTAACAATTTTAAACAATTCTTATAATGCTCTCAATTATTACGCTTTGTTTAGAATGAAACTAACAACCATTACGCATTAAATAATTCATATAGTAAAAGAACGTGAAGCAACTGTAAAATTGTGCGTTACCGCAAACGGTAATATACCGATGCCGCATAAAACAGAAATATAATAAGTATAAATAAAAAATCCATTTGCTGGTTTTTACAATAACATTAAATATTACAGTTTATAAATTTTAAATGCAAATAGATCGATACTATTTATTGTCCGACATTTCAACAGATTTTTTTGTAAAATTAAAAATATATGCAACTATTTACTCTATTAATTTTATTTAGTTCTTAATGTTTAAGTTTTGAATGAATTGTGAAGATACAACAGAGTTTTTAAAAATTCAAGTAATAAAAGAATTACTTTGTACTGGCACGTGAAATATCTGTGTATCGGATCAATTTTCGCCGTAGCAGAAAATCTGTAAACAAATAAATTAACAATTATGACATTTATAAATACGATAATATAACGTTATTTTTGAATCACAAAACCAAAAATCTTCATATTTATGTTCTTCGATACCGAAATAAAGTTACTTTAATTATAATTTATATGCTGTCATAAAAATTATCTTAAAGCTAAGTATTCAAATGGGCCTGTGGCCAGTCCTGTATGTTAAAACTATTTAAGAATGTCGACCAATAATCTTTTTACATTTTACTACCATAAAACGTTGAGCGTAAAAATTCCTCTGAATGAACAGGCATTAATTCGTTCCTTTGGTATTTGTAGCGAATAAATCGAAAAAGTAATCAAACAGATATTGCACTTTTTAAATAGGCACCTATTACGTTCGGATGGGGTTTAAAGACCTTGCAAGGTCGAGCGGTTATCCTATATAGAGGAATTCACTTTCAAACCCTTTGTGTTTTATACATATTAAGGCTTTTTCTTTGTGAAGGTACATACAAGCTTTAAACAATACGTTTTGGTATTAATAGACATTTATCACGTCATTAAAAGAGTAGGTACCTAACTTATACATTTGTATAATATTTTCTATTCAAAATTTTATTGTCTTATTATTGTAGAAAGACAATACTTTTTTAAGTTATTTCCTATCTAACAGGATACGCATGATTGGAATTTATTATAAAACGAACAGACAATGCAATTCCTGTACAATTTAATATTACAAAGTTTACCTATTGCCTGAAACAGACGTAAAAATTATTATTCATACCAGTAATCTTGTTAACAGTTATATTTGCGTTCCGATTACCTGCTTTAGTTTTAATTTAAAAAAACAAATAGAATTAATTTCTATTCCATAAAACAAATAAAAACAATAAATACATGGTATAGACACGTTTCTGGAATGGTAAAAATCAATTTAAATTTTCAGGTAAAACTTTTTACTGGCACTCATATGTGTATTTGTTTTTTATTTCGGTGATATTTTACGGGAAATAATTTTATTACTCCAAACCAAACATTCTCTGGTAATAATTATTTAAGTGAGCCAAAGCATTTCTTCGATTTCAATTTCACAGACTAATAAAAACCTACGAAAAGTATTTTTTTAATGTGAGTCAACTCATTGAAAAATTTTCTCACAATGTAAGAGTGGAAACCGGCTCGTTAACAAATGATCCGACGAAGAGTAAATATTTGTCAAATCGGCAACGCAAATATGTTAAAAGTATTTAAAGACACGGGTCTTAAATATCCGAAGAACTTTAGTTACTATAATTACTAATTCTTATAGTTTTACGGGTGGTCCGGTGAGGTAAACATAACGAGAAAACCAAACGAAAAACTCTGCTTATAGTTACCGTTTTAATTATTAAATAAATTTAAGGCTTATTAATCGATTCAAAAATCGCTATAGCCAGACGAGAATAACTCAACTGGCTGGCCCTTTTGAATTATAATTATTGTCCAATTAACATTCTACTGAGTATTCCATTTAGAATGTGCTTTTTTTGTTTAATTTTCTTAGAATGGTGGCCATTACTGTGTTGTAATAAATTCCATATAACATCCCGATATAATTTAATGCGACATTCTTAAATATTTTTTATCAAAAACAGTAACTTGTTAATCAATTTTTCTTTCTCGGATTAAACCGAAACTTAATTTTCGTTAATTTTGAATGTAATATAAATATTTTTCAAAAGAACCTCGTACATTCACCCAATTTAAGAAATACCGTTGACTCGTCGAGCTGTTTTACAAAAGTTTCATGAATACCTACTGTATCTGGTAACAATACTTGTTTTTAATTACAATTGCCGGATTATACTTCCTTCGTTATAATTTTATAAGACTACTTATAACTGTATATGCTCTTTTTTATCACCGCAATAATTTAAATAAAATTCGCAGCAGCAATTTACTAGGTGTGATTCCTTACGTGATGACGCATGTTCGACTGAAGAACATAAAAAACAGCCCTGGCAAATAAATGGCACTTTTCCGGCGTTAAGGTTGCATTTACATAAATTTTATTATTGTTTAAAATCTTCCTGTGGACGTCAAACAAAGGCCAATCAGCGCATTCTTTCGTCTAACTTATGATTTACGACTGCCAGTGCAAAATGTCGTGACTTTAACCACAAAAATATTTGAATAGAATACGTCGTGGGATATAGGATGGACGAAAAAGAAAATGCAAGAAAAAAGGAACGTCGTTTATGTTTATAAACTGCTTTAAATAGTCACGAATGGCAACTTGAATATGTAAAGTCTAAGCATAAAGGCTGATCTCCCCCAACAAAAGGTTATATTTTTCTCGGTTAAATACCCTTCTTTGTATTTACGATGATACGCCACTGTTTTTTTTATTTTTTTTTCTGTGCGACCGAGTATTAAAAAAACTGTTTTGAATATAATTCAATAATTTAAATTATGAAACCAGAAAAATCATTCAACTTAACAGTATTTGGAATTAAACTGCGCGCGTCTTGCCGTTATTTCTGTATGATTATTATGGATAAAAGGATTTTTAATAATAGAGCGTTTTCGTTTTTACGGCATTTTACACGCTCTGACTAGCCGGATATCGGTGCGCCTTTGTACACAACAAATCAATGTAAAACCATTAGTTCAGCCGCTAATTCCAAAATGAAATTGTATCTTTTATGGCTTTCAATTATATCTGCAGAGTTTGTCAATTGAATATTAGCGGTTCACTTTAATCGACGAACCCGTTGCAACACATTTACTCCGGTCGCAACATGCTACGATGACGTTGGATTTTACGTTGGTAATGCAGATTTTTTTTTCCTAAACAGATTACTCTAGCTTTAAACTCGCTTTTGCATGTTTTGGTTTTGGCTATTCTCTCTTTTGTACTACAAAAAAAATAATAATGTTAACATTAATAAACATCAAATTAAAGAACGACTTTTAAACGATGTCCCAATTACTTAAGCATTTAATTATTTTTCATATTAACTTTATTATTTTTATTTCCCTCCTCTTCTCTTATTCTTTTACTTCCCTTACTGATTTCCTCTTCCCTTACTTGAATATTAACATACTTCATACATAAAATATTTAATATAAAAATTAAATAACTCATAAACTAATATTTTATTAGCTTTTGCCATTTATTCTATTATTAAAATATGCATTAACGTGTAATTGAAAATTATTACCAAATAATAACAAAAAACGATTTTAGAACTTAATTAAAAATATATTAGCTGAACATCAACATTCGTTTGACGTAAAATAACCGATATTAAAATTTAAAATCATATTTATAATGTAATTTTGATCGAAATAGATGTCCTGATAAAGTTGTCATCTACTTGAATGAAGTGAAACGGCGCTAAAATATCTTACCCCAATTGGCCTGATACCTCTGGATACATTGTGGTAAAAATTCCCGGTCAAGTGCGGTCTGATTTTGGATTTAGTGATGTTAGGAACACAATTGAAAGTCTCCATATCACCAAAACCACTTCACATCATTTCAAAACTTGCCATTAAAAGTGCAGAGTCGATTTAGCCAAGTCGGTTCTCACGGTACCCGTGTTGCGTACAGCTCGACGATGTCTGCCGCAATCTTCAGTTTTCTTCGCCTAACGACCAGCGAGGATACTGAGAAAATGAAGCACGAATGCCCAAACGCGAGACGAAGATCGACTTTGTGTACGTCGCTCCGGTCGACGGTCCATTGTTTTTTTTAATTAACTCGTTTTCTGATATAATTATTTCGCTTTCGAGAATTAGGTAATTTCGGTCATACTCGCCAATTATCGTTTTTGTTTCGATCTGTTATTTATTATCCTCTTGATGAAGGATAATTGATAAACGGTCAACATTTTTTGGAAACGATTCAGTTCGGTTACTAAGTTAATTATAAAACGAGCATTCAGAACTTATACCAAAAATATACTGGCATGTATTATGTACCTCATAAACATTCAAAAATTTATAGTACCTACTCCAGAGAAAAAATAATATCAAAAAAAAATCATTGTACTCCAATTTCATCATCTCCACAATTAAATCCATTGATTACTATGAAATGATTTGATAAACATTTATTTTCTTGTTAATAAAAAATAATTAACGGCAATTTTCCTCATTATTTACGTAGAAATAAGTTATCTCAACAAATCTCATGAAAGAACTTTCCCATGTACGCATAAGAACTACAAAATCACTAATACAACAATTATTCTCTATGTAACGAATACAAAATGTTGCATGTTTGTTTATGTTTTTTTAATGCAAAATAACACGTTAGAAAAATTTATTTAAGTACTTGCTATATGATGTTGGATTGATTGAAATTCAAATTAATAAAAATATTTTTACGCCTATTTGAAATTGTCCATATAAATGGTGCTTCGGCGTTAACGGTATTCGGTAATTACGAAAGTAACTAACTACCTATTCCGGTTTTCAGAATCGCTATGAATAACTTCTAATCATGCAGCACTAATTTCCGATGCGTAAATTAAAAAACTCTGTTATTAATTGTCAATTAGTTTGGAATTTACAAAAATAAAACTACCTATCGTTTTATATTATTTTCAATAATTGCAAGAATATTGTTTAGTGATTGAGAATTATCAAATTGGAGAAGTTAATTAGTATTTTTATTTATTGGTACAGTTTTTACTACTTTGTGCATCGGGTTAACTACAAAATGTTAAATTCCGAACAAGTGTAATCAATATTAACAATCGCACGAACTGGGTTGTGCGATAAGGGATCTTTTATTCTTTAGGCATATTAATTAAGCAAAATCTTCTTGAATAGTTAATACACGTTTACGATCGTGAGAAAATACCTCAGCGATAATTTATTCATGATTGAATTTTTAAAAAGAAGAAAATTACATATTATCATCTTTTCTCGAATACCGGAAATATCGCTCACAAAATTCGACCATTTCAACACTCGATTTCATGCAAACATTGCAGTGCTAAACTCATTTTTTTCCAAGTGTCACATATTGTAGATAAGAAGACGAAGGGAAATTTAATTCTCAATTTACAAACGAAAAATATCTTCGGCGTATATTCGCATTGCATCTCCGTGGATGATGTGTCAAGGGAATAGCCGGTAGACTTTACATTTAGTGGCAGAGGTAGAGGAAGTGACTAGAAAAGAGTTCAATGGCCAAGTAAGCAAGATGCTAGAATATTACTCGACGGTATAAAACTATTTGCAAAATACTTCAGTCTCACAAGCCAGGGTAGAACTTACCAATTAATAACACTTATTAACCGCAAATATTAGTTTTAAAACTTCGTTTTAACATACGCTGGTTAATACTAGTAAAAAAGTTCATTAACGACCATTGCAAATACTATTTTATTTACTGCTATATATGGTGTTTTTATCACTAGGTAATTAATTTAGGACTAAAAAATTCTTTGCAAATATATATTAACGGAAGAGGGGGACGGAAACGAAGTCGGCTATATTCCGATTCGTCCGCCTTAATTACAGTCTCATGTATATTTTTTTGACGAAATCGCATCGAATATCCTTTGAACTGTCGAGGACGTCAATCCTGACCATAAATTGCTCGTGGGGGCATCGTTGTTCGACCTTCCGAAGAAATCGTCGTAGTAATCGTAATCAGTGGTAATTATGTTGAATTTCGCATAGTAAGCTGCAGCAAGGGCCGAATAAATTAGCAACAGAGCAGTGAATAGCTGAAAAATAAAAATAACAGATATGTAATTACTGGTTTATTATGTACTCGATTCAATGCCAGTAGCATAATTGTGGATTGTAATTTATTTCGAATAGCATAAATCTTATTGCATTTATTATTATCGGCCAATTTTAACTCTTAACTCTTTATAGAACTTTTAATATTTTTTATTTTTTATCTTTAGACTTCTTTTTTAATTTTTAACCAAACATTTGTTTATACCACTTTATTTGGACCATTATCAATTTTGAATTTTGCTCCAAATCACTCAAAACATTCAATAGGTATATTGACATACAGAGACCAATAATAGAATCTTAATTCCACAACTTGTGTTTTTTAATGCACCAGTCAGTGATCCTCTCTTCAAACAAAGCTAGTTAACAGTTAATCAAGTCATCAACATTTTTAATAATTTAAGTGAATGAGACGAAAACCTACCTGAAACGCAGACCAAAACTTAAATGACCATTCATTTATGATGAACTCGTAATAACTGGTCCAAACGTCCATCGCCTGTTTTGGATGTTCTTTCATTTTCATTTCCGGCGGATGATCGACAATTAAATCGTGATCGTGGTCGTGGTCGTAATCATGATCGTACATGCCTCTACCTTGCCTAGAATTGGCCAAAGCTTCATCGTAATCTTCCAAACCTTTTTCGTACCTAAAATACATCAATTTCGTCTATCAAAAATCTGCAGAATTAACTTAGGAGAATACGTCTTCAACATCGTGCTTGGTGTTATTAGAGATGAGTAGGAATAATTAAATGCAAGTGCAATTCAAAATCTTACCTTGATTTCGTTGAAACTTCTGTTGGTCTGATTGTAGTTGTAGCAACAGGGTAATTTACACTGGTTGATCTGCCTACGTTCAAAGCAAAACTGCATGCTATTAAACAACCCCAAACTAACAAAACCGATGAAAAATAGTTGTTCATTGTGCACGTGTTTTTGGAAGGTAAACTTGTGGTTAAGACACTCCTCGGTTAAAGTACTTTTTTTTAGGAGCGTTAGGAGCCGAACTAAAATTTCAATAAAAGGCACAATTTAAGTTGAGCTATTGCTGGGACTCTTGTATAGCTATATGATTAGCGTTCAAAATGAAAAATGAATTAACGTAGGTGTGAATAACGGCATTATAAGGTTATAATTCTATTGACAAATAAGCGCAAACCACATTCAGTTATTTATATTTGTCTTGCCTAATATTTGGAGTAAATTTATTGAATTTTTAATAAAATATGTAGGTATATAGTTCAAGTAGACTTATGTCTACAAAAAGAAAAGTCTCAATTCAGAAATATTTTCAGTTTTATTTGTTAACAATTGTCTAGTTCATGTTCCTGTTTTCTAATATTTTTTTCCTAGCAGCAAAATTATTCATTATTAAGCTCTGTCATTTCTGAATATCTGTTTATTACCATTGAACTTACAGTGAAAGTACTGAATAATTTATAAGCAAAATTTTAATTTCATTTAATGTCTGTATTGGGTAACTCATGCTTCTACTCAAATTAATATACATAATAAACATTACTACTATTTATCATTATTTCTAACTCTTACAATTTTATTATTAGATTAAATGTTTGTATCCTGAATATCGAATTATATTTAGAATTGCCTATCTCGTAGGAAAAGTAAACACGTTGCATTAAATTTTTATTCCAAAAGTTCAAACCTATAAAAAATACATACTTATTTTTTACACTTCGTATTTTAATTCATTACATATATGCAGTCTATCTTGCGATCTAGCCGTTTTCAAATCGCATAAAATTTGAACTTTACATTGAGCGTCGCAAAATGGCGCAGTAGGGCTCTCCCTGTAGTAATTTCTACGATAAATAAATCATATATCTTATGTTTTATCACATATGTATAAATAATACAAACCTATAGAAAGCTTTAAAAAGATTGTCGTTTTTCGCCATATTTTTAATTAATTTATCCCATTCTTCGGGGTACAGAGAGGACATACCATACGCTTCTTTCGCTGTGTAGAGTTTAAACCAAATTGGTTCGTTGTCTCCTTCATTTGCCAGATCCAAGTCGGTTGTCCACGTTTCATGATCCAAAATAGCCTAGACATATTTAAATAAATTAATTCTGTTCAATTAAAACCCATATAAGAGGACTTATAAGGATCACTTTGATTCAGATTTGATTGAGAACATGTAAAAGGACCTCTGGAAGAAAAAGGAAGGAAGCAATCTATAACTGCTTTAGAAATAAGCAGATTAAAGTTAAAAAAAACCTATTTTTATGCATAAACAGCGTTAACGTACTCTTCCTGATTGATCATCGCCTTCAACATAATAGATCCTGAAAGCAGGATTGTGATTTTCGTACGTCGTTATGGAAGGACCAAGATAAGCGACGTTAATCGGTTGGCCTGTAAAGGTCAGCAGTGAATTATTTTTGTTTTTAATAGCTTGCCACCACCGTCTTCTCGCTAAATTCTTACTGAAATTTTCCGTCTCGTAGAACAATTCGAACTCATCGGCGTGGCTGTGCCCATAAAACTGAGCTGTTATGGTGTCCCTAAATCGATCTACTATAGAGTAGAAATTCTTCGACCACGTTTTTAAACAATCAGAACTACCAGGTGGAATGTGACCTGTAGAAGGCATCACAGATAAGTTGGATAAATATAGTACAAATCAGTAGAATATTACCTATTATATGCACTTTTTCGTTATTATTCTCGGCATTTTGAAGTTCGTTAATAAGCCACTTTAATTCATCTGCTGGATCTGTACTATTTACAAGAAGCCACCTGTAACAGATATATTTTGTATAAAAAAAGTTAATTATTTTAATAATAGAACGCACCAGTTTAGAGAGTGGCAGTAATTAGTATTCAATGATATCAATCTAAATCCAGGTCTCAATAGAACCGAATAAAATGCTCCGTGCAGGAGAGTATTTCCTGCTGTGGAAGGCAACCACCTTCTCCAGTGATCCGCTAAAGTCGTGTATAGCCAACTAATCGTGTGGTTTTCGTTTTTTAACCATGGAGGAGCGAAACTACAATTAAAACAATGTCAATGTTTGATCATCTGTTCACATTACTTTTCTATACCTTCCAGCAGGAACTGATTCATGGTTACCCACAGCAGGGAATATCGGAGTGGTGGGAAAATACCTAAACATTTGTTCCACGCATTCTTTAATTATGTTTAAATTACTTTCTTTGGTTTGATTCCAGATATCATGAGGAGGTAGATCGCCTGTCCATATGATATAATCGATATCCTACAAATTCAATAATGTATTAAAATTATATACTCATAGTCGATTACGTTATTTACCGGGTGTTGTAAAGCTATAAATTCCAACATATTTTCGATGAGTATTTTCGGGGAATCACATTTAGCATAGGAACCCCATCTGAAAAACAAAATTAATCCACGTTAATCTGAAATAAACAATTATTACCTTCCAGCTGGAATTGTTTCATTCGCTGATGGGGTACTGTAATTTCGACAACACAATGGTTCTTCGCAATTACTGGGCGATCCAGGAGAATAATCAGGATCCAAATGTGTGTCGGATAGATGAAGGACTTTGAAAGTTGAAGTTGTTGCCTACGAAAAAGTTGTTAAGAAAACCGAAAACTATATAATAAATAATATTCATGAATACTTTTTGTTGAAGTATGTTATCTTCAGTTTCTAATGAATTGTGTGCCGGTATTTGAATATTCCAGTCGTGTATTTCGTTATCGACGGTTCCACAACTTTCACCGAAAATTAAACTGCAGGTTTGCGATGGACCTGCAAAATTAGTTTTTTACACTATAACTGTAAAATTAAAATTTGTTAGCTTACTTAAATCTGATGTGTTGTATGCAGGAACTAACTCAGGGCCGAAGACGTCTACAAATCCAGAACAGACTCCTTCGGTTTCTATCTTAAGACCAACACATAATGACACAACTTTCATTTTAATACTCTCCATTGAATCCCCGTTTTTCAGATGGCTTTGTAATAAGCCCACACCTGCCAAAATATAGAATGAAACTATGTAGCACAATTTAAAAGGAAATATCCTTACCCAGTTTGCATACAGAACAGGGAATTTTAGCTCTTATCACATCATGAATTTTTTTCGGTAATCTGCTAACTGTTTCATCGAAACCTTCCAGAGGTTGCACCATTAATACCTATCAATAAATTGGCAAATACTGAATTATTTAATCGAATATTAGTATATTAGAATATACATCTAAAATTGTTGAACTTACTTTATCTCGTTCGTAAACGATAGGTAATTCATGATTATCTTTTGGGCTTCCCAAAAGGGGTAAATTGTGCGATGGAGTTTTGTAATCCCAAGTGTCTTCAAAGTCGAAATTTTCATTGTCAGTTAATGGAATAGATACTGAAATTATAATGCCTTTTTTCAATTTTATTTTAATTACAAACCATGATATACATATTAGATACACAATTTCTTACCAAATTCATATAATTATTAGCCACTCTATTGTTGTTCTAAACAAAATACTAATTTATTCAGCCGGTTTTTTAATTCTAGAGAAGTCGGTGTAATTAATTTGCTTACGCAAATGAAATCAGCCGTTCAACCGAATGGAAAAATTTATTTTATAATAAAATAAAAAAACTATACTATTTTGTTGAATGTAACATGTTGTAGATAAACCAGTCGGAAACATACCTGCCAATTTAAAAGCGTCAACTAAGCACAAAAGCAATACGAGTTTATAGGCCTGCAACCAAAAAATTCGAGGAGTTTGCGATTTTGCCATCGTCAACTGCAGCACTCACTGTCATTCCTGAGAGTTTACTGATCGGGGGTCGATTGCGAATTAAAATTGTTTGAAAAAACGCTTATTAATATACCAAGTACAACTTCCAAGGCTGGCAACTAAATATTAACACATGAGCGAATCTGTGTATATGTTTAAACGATATACCCATGTCATTACACAATAAAAATAACAACAATCCTGCTAAATAAGAATTTACCTTCGACAGATCAACACGTACTCAGGTTCATTCCGACGATTAAACGGCTAATTTGCGTTATAAAAATTGCGAACTTTTGTACATGTTGTATGGTTTCTCTAAAAATATATTTAAATATAGTAGGTACACCACAAAATAAGGTAGATAATTTGAGAAACATGATTGATTTAATAATTATGATACAGGGATACCGGATGAATTTGTATAAAAAATATGAATATGTAGCATATATTTCCGTTTATCATGAACTCAAAAAAATACTGACATCGTTGATTTATTTTTGCATAATTGATATAAAGACGACAAATGTTATATCTAAGTATTGAATCTACGAAATTCAACCCCTATGGATAGTGATTAAATTATTTTAAATTACTAAAAAATCAATTCCTTTCAGTTAGGACGCATTTGACAAAATAAAATTCTTGCGGTTGTCCTGAAAGAATATTTTAAAAGTTCATTGATCCTGACAAACTTCAGATCGAGTTCACAGAATTCCGAGAGTACATTCGAAGGTGGTATTTTTGGAGATTAACTTAAAAAATGTACTAAAAGTGATATTTTTAAAATTTAAATTCCTCTGACGTGGTCTTTTTCGATCCACTTAATGCCGCTGCGGTCGAAGCAGTACTTTCTAGAAATTAAAACAGTACCTCTACCGGATGAACACGGATGACCTACTCAGTGACCGACATTTGGCCCCCTTTTTTCCTAAAGAACTTCACCAACATATTAAACGACGCATAGGAAGAACAGTCGTCAAATATGTGTTATGCCGAATATACCAAATATTAGATTGACAATTTGGGGAAATTTTAAGTGATTTAGTTCTGTTTTTAAAAGTAGGTAAGTTAAGAATATTCCGTACTATTCTATTTGCATATCTATTTTTTTGAAATTCAAATTTTCAAAATGTTTTTTTTATTTTTTCATTTTAAGTTGGTAATTAATATTAATTTAAGGAATGAAAATTGAATAATTATTTTTAATTATAATAATAATATTGCATATTTAGAAAACACACCAATGAATATATTGAAAAATGCATTATTTATTTGTTGACTTTTTTATTTTTTAAATATTGAATTTCAGAAAGTTGTCCAAGGTGAACAAAGAATAATAAAAATTTACCTAATCGTTGACCGTTATATTTAGGAAATAAAATAATTTCTACCGGTTAATTAGAAACTTTTCATCCTATTTACCCAGATAATAATAAATTTCACCAATTGTCCATTTTTAGAATCCAGACAATATGAAATTGTCATTCATATTCGAACTTCTACTAATATTCATATTAGTGGCATTCGCGGCGTCGGCGGCAGTCGTAGGTAATTTTATTTTCTCTTTAAAATCGATTTTCAGCTAATAATCCGATGATTTTTAGATGCGAATGCCAAACGAAAAAAAAACGCCATCCGTAAATCCACAAGGCTTCAACAGCACAGGCAAAATTTAAATCAAACGCAAGTTGTCGCTCAAGCGGCAACAGGCGCAGCTCAAACTGTCACTCAATCGGCGGCTCAAAAACCGCCGAATAGATTCTGTACCTGCGCGAAGCAAATATGCAATTGTTGCAGGGATTTCAACCTACAATTGCTGAATCTCAAAGGGCCAGGCTGCGCTTCATTGCAATATTTACAGGGCGATCAGCTGGCGATTTCTATGAGCTTCAACGATAGAGTTTTGTCCAATACAACAATCAAAGGTAAACAAATTACTCGAAAAACCGCAATGTATCCCATTGAAAAATTTCTATCGTGCCTTTGGGATACCTAGCATTGTTAATATCCACTTAATGTTTCATATTCTAAACGCAACTCTTAACATTTTAGGGCGCAAACCGCCGCCGATTTGTATGCCACTGCCAGGAGGGATTTCGAAGTTTTGCGGTCGCGTTTACAATATAGGACGTCAAGGAGATGAATTTAACGCCTGTTTAGGTTTGGAATTGAGAGCTCTTAACGACATTGAAGCAGCTATAAGAGTGTCGTGTTTCCGATTCGGGCCGAAAGGGCTGAGATTAGAACCGCCTCAACCTTTGCCGCCTATAGAGGAAGATAACGATGACGATGACGACGACGATGATGATGACGATGACGATTACGACGATTTCGGTTTTGATGGAGGCGACAGTGTCGATTATAGCGTGTTTGACGACGATTTTATCGGGCAATACTTCCAAGAAGACGACGATTCTCCCAGTGTTAACAAAGTCAAAACGACCACTACTACGTTTAGACCTACTTTCAGAAGAGCTAGCAGAAGACCTGTTCACAAACAAACTATTATAAAGAAAATAGTAAAGCAGCCTGTTAAAACTAGTACGCCTACAAAAACTGCGATACTGAAGAGGAGACCTTCAGTTACCACTCGAAGCACTACAAAAAAGCCCTTGTCGACTTCAACGGTTCCAATATTAAACAAAATGGAAAAAAATAAAACTGATGCTGCACCCACGACAATTACTACTCCCAAAATTAATAACAAAGAAGTTGAAACGACTACTCAATATGAAAATAAAAATACAGTAACCGTTCAAAAAACTGAAACTACTTTTACAACAGAAGCAGTAAGCATGATTTCTGATACAGAAGCTAGTAACATTGATAAAGAAGCGAGTACTTCTGATAAAGAAATTATTACCACAAATGAACAAAAAACGACTGAGACTACGGAAACCACAACAGAACAAATGTATATTACAACTGCAGCGTAAGAAAAGTGTAAGTGAATGAAGATGATTAGTACAAGTTAAATTAAGTAATTTATTCGCTTACCTTGTTAGTTTCTTTATACCGGTGATAAATATTTCAACGCTTTCAGAAGGTAAAGACTATTTATATTTCTATTTATTCTTAATTTATTCAACGTTTATTTAATTTTTATTTTATACGATTGCATTTCATGCATTTAAATTATTGTTAATTATTAGGATAATTCAAAACAATAAATATTTTTGTTACTGTCGAAAGTGAATAAAAATTAAAAATAAATTGTTTCTGTAATATTGATTTATAATATGCATCTTATTCTTAGGCCCAATAATTAAATCAATATTTCTAATTACTAATCATTCCATAAATTTTGATTATTTACCGTAATAGAGCTTTTAGATAAATAATAAACTTTTAAATAAACCTTTTAGATTAACTTACAGGTACTTATTATTGTTCAATTTTTCAATTGTTTTAAGTAATCAATTATGTGGCGTTTAATAGTCACAAACCGTTCAATGTCAGAGATATTTTATTGTAGGGAAGAAAAAACCTTTTTGTAATAAAAATGAAGACTTATATGTCCCAATAAAGAAATATGTTACATAGAATTGTAAAAAAATATAAATTTACAAAAAATACAACAGTTAATATTATATATTCAACGCCGATTCTTTATTAAGCATCCACTGTGACGTGAATAAAATGCAGAAACTGTTAATATACAAGTACGCAAATGAAGTAATATGTAAGTTATGAGCATAGAATAAAAAACTTATTAATATTGAAACGCGTGATATATGAGTGTAAGAAACGGCGTTGCATAAAATTATGAATATGTTAAAAAAAACCAGGATTAGTGTGCTCTATAACGCATCGTTTACAATACTTTTTAACGGCTCTATAACCGTCTATAGATATCTGGCAATCTTGAATATTGAGTTGCTGCAACCCTCTACAATAATAGGCGATGCATTGGACGCCTCTATCAGTCACTAAATCACAGTTCCTAAGGCTCAACTTCTTCAAGTTCGGACAACTCTCAGCGAGCGACCTTAACCCTGCATCGCTTACATCACATTTTCCTATATCCAAAGCTCTCAGCCTTGTACAAGACCTCGCTAATATGTTTATTGCATCATCGGATACAGCTTCACAGCCTCTTGCATTTAAATACCTTAATTTGTAACATTTTTTCGCTATAACTTTTAGCCCCGCATCACTAACTTGATCACATTTCGCCACTGACAAGTACCTCAGGGTAGCACCTAATTTGGCCAGCTCGTACAAGCCGAAATCAGTGATGTTCGAACAATCACTGACGCTGAGTTCCCTTAACCCTGAGCAAAAGCTTGGCACATACTTCAGCCCCGCGTCTAAAATAATAGTATAGTATATAATAAGTAAGTAACAGTCTTATAGTGAGTGTTAACTAACCTGTTATTTCAACACATCTACGCAAATATAAATACGATAATAATGGAGAATTTCGTACAATTATGAGTAGTCCATTGTCTTGTAATGCAACACAATCGCTTAAATCTAAATATTGCAGTTGTAATTTTCTTGTTGATTGTATATCGTTGGTGATGTTAATACACGATATTTTTGTACAACCTTAAACATTAAGAAGTATGTAATTTAAAAGATGTTCATTATTCATGAGATAACATACCTGTGATATCTAAATGTTGCAAATTAGTGCACCTAGTAACAATCTCATGAATGATACTATTCGTCAGATTAGTACAAGCGTGTAGTTGTAAATGAGTTAATTCCGGACACCTTCTGGCTAAGAGTAATAAACTTTTCTCAGAGAGTTTAGCGCCGCTAGTGATGTGTATTCTTTCAACATTTGGACAAGCGCCGGTCTTTCCCTGTCCGCAAAGCTGTCTTAGCACGCAACGGATCGCCTTGTCACCACTAACATGATCATCTTCTATAGTTATTATCCTCCAAAGAGTCGGTGTCCACGCTAATATGTCGAATCTTCTACACACTTGCGCGCATAAGCTCAAATCGACGCTGGATAAAAATGAAAATATCTTAACAACCAGTTCGTCAGGGAGCCTGTCGAATGAGTTATTCTTGGATTGGCACTTTTTGCCTTTATAGAGGTGTGTGTTCCAAAAATCCTGATTTGGGGTCACCAGAGTGTGGTAGCCTTGATCTAAACTGGGACTGGTTTTTCCCAGCATAGTAAAATTGTCGAGGAGACAATTTGTGTCTTGTTGGCTGCTGATGTTGTAGACGGATTCATTGGGAGATTGTATGTTGATTATTTTCTTTCGTTTATCTTCATCCCAATAGTATTCTCTTAAAGAATCTTTATATGAATAAGGCGAATGATTGTTACTCTGGCTATTATAGGTGTTTGGCAAGTAATAATTTTGCTAGAAATAAAAGAGGTTTACCTAACGAAAATATTTAGGAATAATTAAAACTTACCACATAATTAAAAGGCTGAGCTTTTTCTACAGCTTGTTTGTGTTTGAACTTCTTGTCATCATTTTGACTGTATGTGTCTATGTATAAAGGGTGGTAACTAAAATTCTCTCTTATATAGGTTGGTAGATTATCTGAATTAATTTGTGCAGGTTGTTTATCAGAATTCTGGCCTAGCCTTACTAATGGACATGTAGACAGTTGTTCGGAGGATTCAGGACGTTGATTCATATCTTAGAAGATAGACTGAAACAAATATTTCATTCAGATTCAGAATACTCATTCAGATCATTCTAAAGTATAGGTAATCAATAGAAGTTCCTATAAAGTATTTTAGGTTTTATTTTTATATATTGTAGTAATAAACTCCTTGTATGCAAATTCTAATTCCATTGTAATATTCATTATTTGAAAAAAGAAATAATAAATAAGATTGTGTGAACAATAAGGTAACGGTAATTGCATGGAAGATAAGTAGGGTAAATGGCAACTTAAAAGGTCGTCGACATGTTGACTTACCTTAACCCAAAACTAAACAAAAGTAACATAATATTTCTTCAAGTTTTAGTGTCATTTTTCACTGTTATTAACCTTTCAATAGTGTTAGTTCCACTTGGAAACGATAAATCCAGACCCATATGGGTAGAATTCCTGCAATTTCACTTTTTTATAAATTACTTAACTTATTTCGATTGTAGAAGGTAGTACTAGAATGTCAAGTAAAGAACTTTACTCTTTACCTTTACTTCTATAAATTATTTCTTCTGTTCTGTCTTGTCTTCTAAGTTCAATGACAAAACAGATTTCTTCATATCTCTTTGACAGTACTACTTAGTACTGAAATCTTATTCAATGAAATGAAATTACAAAAGAAGAGATCAAATAGTTTTAATTGTATTGTTTCAAGTTAGAATTATTAGGATTTTTTTATTAAATGTAGGTACTATATTTGTAAATCAATAAGTACTACCTTTGTTTGGCACCAAAAATTGGCAGAGACCACTTTGAACTGTCATTAGTGTCAATTACTAGTTCCCTCTATTTCCTAGTAACGGAAGTATTGACGCATGATACTAATAAAATAGGTGGTACCTGGTCTGGGCAACCAGAAACACACGTATTTTGCATCCAAGTACTTTTAGGAGTTCGATTAATAAAATATACTTTAAATATAGCGGAGTTTTTGTATTTTTAATCAAAACCCACAGTTAAATAAAACAAAAATATAATCAAAGAAAATCATTTATTTGAAAAATGTAATACAAGTATAATTTTTTTAAAAACAGTAAACTGATGCCGTCTTCTATGGCTTTCAAAGGATTTTGAATAATCATTCCAAAAACTTCAGATTCAAAGTTTTCGAAATGAACGTAAAATAGTCAACAATTTCATCGATCTGAAAAAGTAAATATGAAGAAAGCGCAGATTTCAATCAAACATAACAACTTACCACTTTCGAAGTCGGTTTTCCAGCGCCGTGTCCTGCTTTGGTCTCTATTCTAATCAACAAAGGATTCTTCTGGAAACACGAACTACCCGCTTTGTACTGCAATTCCGCTATGAATTTCAGCGAATGTAAAGGCACCACTCGATCATCATGATCAGCTGTCAACAACAAAGTAGCAGGATACTGCTGTGATTCTTCTGCAACGGTAAACAAAAGTTTATAAACGTTCAGTCCATCAAGCAGGATAAACGTACCTTGCGGCTCGTGGATATTATGTAAAGGCGAATACTTGTAGATATATTTAAATTGTTCCTCCTTCTCCGAACAACCGTAATCCGACTTCCATGCGTATCCAATGGTAAATTTGTGGTAACGTAGCATATCTAGTACGCCGACTTGGCAAATAGCAGCGCCAAAAAGTTGGGGTGCTTGGTTAATACAAGCAGCAACTAGAAGGCCACCATTAGATCCGCCTTGTATAGTTAGTTTGTTAACTGAAGTGTATTGTTCCTTGACCAAATATTGTGCGGCGCATTGGAAATCATCGAAGCAATTCTGTTTGTTGCCGAACCTGCCTGCGTTATGCCAGGCGTCACCGTATTCACTATAAAATTAGATTTATAATAATGTTCTATTTATAAATATGTTCTAAATGCTTACCCTCCTCCTCTTATATTTGCAAGAGCAAATATACCATCGAAATTGTTTATAAAAATTAGCCTACTAACCCCGAATGATGGGGTTAAATTGATATTGAATCCACCGTAACCGTATAATAGGCAAGGTTTTGAGCCATCTTTTACAGCACCCTGTTAATAAACAAATTGGTATTAATATATTTAATATTATCTATTAGAATTTATTATACCTTTTTGTTTACTATAAACATTGGAATTTCTGTTCCGTCCTTACTTTTATAAAACACTTGCTTTGTTTCGTATTTAGATGCATCGAAATCGCCCACTTTAGTTTCATGAATCATCTAAAAATCATTTTTTCTACTTATTAAAAAAACTTCTTGTTTGTATCTAAGCTAATAAGCAGACTAGAAAGCTAAGCATAGTTTGGTCGTATATTATAATCTACAATTCATAATATACTTACAGTTTCCTTAATGTTATCTCCGTCAAAAATAACTTTATATATTTTACTCGGCGTTAAAAATGAACAGAAGCTATAAAACATTTCGTTGTGATCAGGTTTACCGGTAATTGCCGAAATAGTACCGACATCCAACTTAAAGTCGTAGATTTTATTACCAGTTCGCAAATCGTAAATAATCATGACATTCTGAAACATTTTTTGGATTGAATTTCGTTGTTATTTTAAGATGATTAAGGTGTTACCTTTACATCTCTGAGGTAGCAAACAACTAACATAGTTTTATTAATAACATGCGCCCAATCGAGTACATCTTTAGGATGTTCTGGAATTAAATTCGACCAGCCAGGTTCCCCTTGAAGATTGTCAAAATCGATTACTACAATCCTGTAGTTGGGCGCGTTCTTATTAGTCAGAAACATAAATTTCGAACCGATGTTTGTTATGTACTGAAAAGCATACATTTTGTTACCGATCAATAAAAGTTTGATTGAAATGTTACCTCATAAACAGCATCTAGTTCTGTAATAACAGGAGTTAAGTTTAGTTTCCCTGAGATTTTTCTATCATTTGAAAACTTAGCAAAATACAGCAGATTATCTTTGCATCCCTTGATCGGGGTCACAACTAAATAATCTCCACAATGACTTACATGAGCACCCCTAAAAATTATCAGTATATTAATTTAACTGTAAGTGTGTTTTAGAAATCAAATTAGATCACAGAGTACATACATTCTCAGTTGATGATCATCGAATTCAACAACCATAATATCATCAGACTGATTAGTACCTAACTTATGGTAATATAGTTTTTGGTATTCAGCAGTTTTGGTTTCCGAACCATCAACTTTGCCACTTTGGTGTAAATATCCCTATAATTTTAAACTAATATAGATCCTCTATTTAAATGATTACACAAATTTGTATTACCCCATAGAAAAAGCCTTTATTATCGTGCATCCAGGTCATCGGAGAGAACTTGATTTTTTTAAGTGTCTCATCGTAATCTTTACCTACGAAGACCAAGAGTTAATAATAACTTTACGAGATGGTATACTATTTGATAAATTACCAGTTTTAACATCTCTGAACTTGATTTCGATCCAATCGCATCCACTAGAACTCAAACCGTAGGCAAAAGTTAAACCGTCTTCTGAAAATTCAGTTCCTTGTAAGGCAACAGTTCCATCCTCCGAGAGGGTATTCGGATCCAGGAATATTTTTGGCTCCTCGTCTAAGGAGTCTTTTACGAACAACACGCTTTGATTTTGTAGTCCTAAAAATCGGTTAATATCGTATTATCTCATAAAACTGGTACAAAGAGAAGCCTTGTTAGTATTAAATCATTTTACCAGAATTTCTGTATTGAAAGTATTTATTTCCATGGCGATGAGGTGCAAATTGTTTAGGGTAATTCCAGAATTCTGTAAGCTTTTCTTTTATCTTATTTTTATGTGCATAATCATCCAGAAACGGTCTAGTTATGTTATTCTGGGCATTAACATAAGCTTGCGTTTCTTCCGAATCAGGATCTTCTAACCAACGGTAAGGATCGGTTATCTTAAAGAAAATTAACAATTTCATAAACAATGTTCAATAATAAATAAATTCATAAAGAAGTGCCTACCTCAGTACCGAAATAGTTGTCTTTTACAGACTCATCTCTTGAAGCATCTGGATATTTAAATGACATGTTTCTTTTAAACAAATGGACCAAATATTTCCTGAAAAAATTATAATTGCATTTAATTTCTAAATTGCGTCAACAGAGTACCTATGTTTTGTTAAAAACCGCATTAAAAAACTGATTTATTTAAACAAAAACTGACACATTTGACGTTTGGTCAAGAAAATAGCAGGATAACTTAATAGGGGGGTAGCGGCATTAGGTCGGACTTTAGAGAAGAGGGTGACTGAGGTAAGGGGAACGCAGAAGTCAAACTAGGTTGGCAACAAACAGTGACAGAAGTGTCAAATGAGAAATGTTGGCTAAACTTTTTAATGAATTTGAATTCAAAAATGGTTTCTAGTTTGTGTTTTGAAGAGTAATAATTGTATTTATATGTGTATTATTTGACTTTTATTTAAAAACTTTTAATAAACAATGGTTGGGCAAAAGTGTTATGTTAAAAATTGTGCCAACAGCAGTTTAATTTGTACAAATAAAATAAGTTTTCACAAATTTCCATCCGATCCGGTAATCTCAAGGCAATGGGCTATTTTTTGTAACCGTGGAAAAGATTGGGAGCCCAAAAAGGCGGCTACAATCTGTTCTCGACATTTTAGAATCGATGACTTTGTTCAGAGTGATCAGTACGAGCTTCTTGGAATTAAAATCAGACGAAGTCTTCTTAAAAATAGTAAACTGATATTTTCGAGGTAGACAATTTCTATTACACATAAGTGCAAAGAGTTAAATTGTACATACCTAGAACATACATATGTATAGTAGAAAAAAGTTTATATGAAACATATATTATTATTATTATTATTATTTACCACTAACATGCTTTTTTTGTAGTCATACCAAGTCAGAATATGGAATTTCATAATCAAATAGAAAGTGTTATTCTACAAACCGTGGCCGTTACCCCCTTATTAAATTATCCTGGAAAATAGTAAAATTTGACATTTGGAAATTTTGCTCTCTCTCTTTTTCTCTTAGCGGCCTCTTTTCTCGTCACAAGCAGCCACAAAAATACAGAATAATGGATAATGGAAGTAATAAATCATTTAATCATTTTCTTAATTCTTCTTGATTTTTAAATAGTGTAGAAAACCTAATATTTTTGCCGATATGGTGCCCATAGACAAAATCTTTCTTTCTCTATGATGGTTCCCATTATTTTATAACTCGGCTTTTATTAAGGAGCTAATTTTTATGCAAATTCAATTTTTTTTCTCTGAAAAACACAGGGGAAAAATCTATTGGGATGAAACATGTTTGAATCATATACAAGTAGATGCAAAATTGTTTACAGTATAGGCTATGAGTGCAACAAAGAAAACATCCATTAGTCTTTTTCCAAAGGAAAAAAAAGAGTGATATTGTAATATTACAACTTCCTCACTCTAACCACTGTTATTTTGATCTTTCTTTGTTTAACTCATGGCCAAAATTGACAATATTGCAGTGTATATGATTTATTATTCGAAAAATTATTAAATACAATTTTTAAAAGTTCTCTATTATAAATTATTTAAACAAAGCGCAAACTTTTTTAAACAGAACTACACTAATATAAATTGCGTACGTGTATACAAACACGTATACTAATGAAGTAATTTTTAAAAAGCAATAAATAAACTTGTTTTCTAATAATATATAGATTAAAAATAAAAAAACAATATTTCATAGAAAAATATGCTTACCTGTCTTGTTAAAATTCAAGTAAAATTTTAACTACTCTAAATAGTTCAAATTACATTCCAGTTTGATTAGATAGCTGAATTTACATAGCATTTAATTAATTCCAACACAAATGCAAAGATAGCATGTTCAATTTGAATAAATATGTAGACAATGAAGTAGGTGTCAGCATTCAAATGATTCAGCTTAGTGGGATCTCAGAAGTGGGATTAAAAAGGCGCTCCTAAAAATTTATAATTAACCAGTTCCAACCCCGAAACACCTACCTTGGTTCTATTTTTACCATTTCTAGTGCAATGTGCAATGCTGTTGAAGAGCAAAAAGCAGTAGGCCTCGTAATAAATAGCTTTTAATTCAAGAACGCGACTTTTACCGATATTGTATTCTATATATGGATTTTTACAAACATTGTATTATTGTTTTTAATGCAGTTTGAGTGCAGATTAACCATTATAATGTGGCTAAGAAAAATCGTCACAGTCATTAACCTTAGGGCTCAATGAACCGGTAATTCGGCCCTGAATTTTAAACAATCGATAAAACGACCTTGCCAATGCGCTAAGTTCATTTTCGGCTATTGTTTCTAGGCCATTAAAGACATAGATATTAAAAAAGTCATACGGTTGCAAAAAAAATAAAACCAAGCAAATTATACTTGTATAAACTATACTTGTATCCTTGATAATGCATTAATGCGTAAATTGCAAACAGATCAATTTCATTTGCGGTGATTAATAATTTATTCGTTTCAAATTATATTTAAAGTTAATATTATTTATTTCAGTTTAAAGTGCATCACGAGACAATCTGTACAATCGGAGATGGGTCAACAATCTTGCCCACACCAAAACAGGAAATATATGCAAATTATCAGACATACACTCAACTTCTGATAATCCTTGAGTGAAAAATAAACTTTGTTTATGTTTAGTTAGTACCATAAGGAAACTAATGAAGCATACTTTCCTGATGGGATGGGAATGAATCATGCATATCATTTCACAGGAATTTGAAGTGCCAATGTGAAGCAGTTTAAATTTAGCAGATAATCTTATAATTTATGATTCCTCACAGACGAATTAGATTAATTATGCTACAAAAATGTGCACTTTACTCGAGTTACTCACTCTGTTGACACATGCTTCTTGGAATTAATCGAAATATCTCTTTAAATTTGCGAGCTAACTGAAATAAGCCAGCTAAAATAAGCCAATAGGAATTTTTGGTATTTCATTTTAAACAGGCTATTAATTCACCATTAGGAGCTGTTTTGTTCACCACATAACTTAAAAATGCTTATGTACTCTATTTTAGTTTATCAGTTTCCTAGAAAGACTTGATAAAAAGTACAGAGAATGAATAATGGGTAGGATAAACAGAGATTGCATTTAATCTCGGAAAATAAGTAATTTCTCAACAAAAATAAAAATCATATAAATTTTATTTTAAAAATTATGATGTATGCAGAATAATGACATTAAAAATTATACAAATAACATCACATTTTTTATTAAAAAAATATCAGCCTTTTAGGGAATAAGTAGAAATATTAGAATAAGTAGAATTACTATGACGTGACAATGATTAATTAAACAAAAACTCAGACTATATATAAAAATAATCAAAACACTATCTTGCTTTTTATATATAATCTAACTCGTATCTAAAAAAAAGGAGTAGGATCGATAGTTTTTACCATAAGGGAGTGGAGAATCCTCCAGGAGGAACCTTGACTCTTCTCGGTTGTTCGGGAGTCGCGATTTTCTTTTTTTCCGCTTCTATAACTATATCAGGTTGGATATTTTCATCTGGAGTAATATAAACGTTGCCGTTGCCATTATGACCATTATTTTGCTTTTTTGTGTTATCTGGCTCGTCGTGAACAAAACAACTTTTTATGGTGGTTGGTGGACCAATATGTTTTTTACTTGGCGTCATCATTTCGGCATTATCAGCAATGCCGAAAATATCGGAATGTCCGCCGCCTGGGGGCTTCAGAACCCTACTGGAATTCTTTTTTTCCCCAAAACCGATGTTAAAACTTGTGGATGTCATCTGAAAATAACGTATTTGTTTCATTAAAAAACACGTTTTTCCAATTCTTATCGACGATGATTTATCAAAAAGTTAATACAAACTACTCTAGCTACCCTAAAATAACTAAATCAACTGTATTACTACTTTTATAAATTTTCACAGAAAAAAATAGCATGTGGTAAATTGCTATTGTTCGATGCCAGATGAGTCACATTGCAAAGCCGTATGAAAAGGGCAATGTTATTTTAGTTACTTCGGCAGCCGTTCGTTGATTTGTATTAAAGTTAAACTAGTTTATATGTTTTTTTTACGTAAATTAAAATGTAAGTTACCTTAGAAATTATACGTCCAGCTACAACAACAACCACAATCCTTCTAACGGTTACGATTTATTTCGTTTGAAATTGAAGTGAAGTGAACTTTCGACCTCGAATATACCTTTCTCTCTCCAGCCAATCGTCGTCAATGTCGGGCGCTCCGAAAGTAAAAAGAAATGAAATGAAAGAGCAGTGCTGTTAGACATTCGCCAATCGGACAACGACCTCGTGTCACATGACCTTAAAATTCCTCTGTTCGTTTGTCTGTCTGCTGTCAGGCAACCAACTCTGACAATGTACAGGCGCGTTTTTTTGAATACGTATTTTTTTCGAATAAATTCGGAATGTAGGCCAAAAATTTTTGAAAGGTTATTGCACTAATACTAATAAAAATAGTTGTTTATAACTAGTGCTGTCCGATTACTTTTAGATAGCCGGTTACAACTATTCATTATATTCCAGGTTAATCGGCTTACGGCTATTATTTATTAGGATTTGATACTTTTATGTAGGACACTGGATTCTGAAATTCCAGATTAATAACAGAACCCAGCCTCACCTAGGCCTTGACCCTTGAAGTACCAAGGCCAGTACTTGACATTTAGTACCTTATTATCTCTTAAAGTAAAGGCCGCCATCCCCGTTATTCATAAAAAGTATACTCTCTTTTTTTACTTCTGTGTTACTGTTTTAAGTTTTTAATTATCTTAAATCATATTACCAATACTTGTAGGGGTAAGTGCAAATTTGTTTGCTCATTCTATGAGTTGAACAAAGGAAGGTTTATTAAAACAACAGTGGTTAGAATGAGAAAATTGAAATATTATAATATCACCCTCTTTTCCCTTTATATGAGACTAATAGAAGTTTTCTTTGTTGCACCCTATATTGCGTACAAATTTGCACTTATCTGTTTGTTCATGCACAAGTTTATGAGACTCAGAATTGTCAACATGTTTTCATATATCAGAAAGATTGATAAGTTCTAATACAAATCAATCCTACTGAAATTAAAAATTCATTTCTCCAATTTTTAATGGAATATTTTATCAGGATAGGATATGTAAATAACACAGCTATTGTGTGATAATGTTTATTGATTTCAAATTCAATACAGAGGCGGTTGCATAAAAGTCAGTTAAAAAATAAAAACAATTAATCCTGCATGTCCGGCGAAATATTATATGGAAATAATATCTAAGTAAATATAGGTTAAAACTAGTCATGAACCCAATCTGTAAACCTTAAAAATTAACAAAACTATTCACAATAAAACTTAAACTTTTTTTTCCAATACAAATAAACAATTTTAACGGTTTTCCATTTATGATGCCATAATAAATCTAGCACGGAACCACACTACATAAATCTATCTGCAGGATTAATGGATAGCTAAAATAAAATAAAAGTAATACTTTGAACACACAACTTAAAAAAAATCAGTTTCCTTAGTAAACATACTTAATGAACATATTTACATACATTCAATGCCCCAGGAATATTGAAATCAATCTCCAAAAAAAAGTAGTGTAAATTGATCAGCAGATCAGAATTGCATCGCATCTAGAGAACAACTAACATATTACATTCCCTGACAATATTTATATACGTGCATTTTGTCAGAAAACGGTTAGCAAATACTAGCTTTAAAAACGGTATAACATAATAAATATAGGTTAATATTAGGGTCCGAAACCATTATATTTTTAACAAGTATATTCAACATTATGCTATATTACTCACAATGTGGACACTTCAAAGTATTTCATATACGTGTTTTAAATACCTACATGAAATATTGGAATAAAGATACAACTAATAGTGCAAACGAACTATTTTAAATATTTTACGTTATTTCATTTAAACGTTGCCCTCGATATATCTACGGGTACAAGCAAATAGCATTAGCATTACAAAATCAATTCAAATTTTCATAAAGAAAAACATTTCAAAGTATACTTGTATAACTATCTTTTTCTATTTTTTTACTTATATAAAAACAAAGATTTATATAAACGGGTTTTTAAAAAGTCGTTTAAAACTTAGTCTAAATAAAGTTTATGCCTCAGTATTTGCGTTCAAAAAGTAAATTGATTTCTGCATTTAGCGAGATTCAAAATTACACATTATGTACTTAATACTGTCTAATTTTCTTTCTACAACTTTGTACTTAATCATCCGTGTGAAGGTCTTCGTTATAAAAATATTTAAAAATAGTTCGACAACACCGAGATTATTCGAACCCTAAACGAATTACAATTTTGTAAAACCAATTCTGAACTACTGTCACCCAATTTCTTTTTCTGCCCACGAAAATGAAAATGGGTAGGAGCACTGATTGGGAACATACAGTGCCTAAGCAATAACCAGAATTATACATAGATACATGAATTCATTTCATATAACATCATATGTTAATGAAATCACATGAAATAATAAAAACAATAATTCATAGTTATTTTAAATGTAAATACATGGCCACATGGAACTCATGTATAATTGTTCTGTACCAATGACGAAAAAAAGCAATCACTAAGGGAGAGATGCAATTCTACAACGGGAGCCATTGGTACAGGCTTACGTAGAGTTCAAAGTTTACTTCTTGACACCGTTTTGGTGTACTGACCCCTTATTAGCTACGACAGGGGAAGCACTGTAACAAAACAACATTAATTCTATATTCGTCTTATTCTTAAAAAAATCTTACTTGTCTCCGTTGGGACCAGACGAACCATCCTTGGGAGCAATATCTAGACCCAATTCGGATAACACTTTGAGAGCTTCAAGAGCGGCTTTCTCGTGAGAAGCTTCGGTGGTGGGACCTTCACCGTGACATACTTGTGGTGGATTTGTACTCAAAGACACTAAAGTCAAATACATTTCATGATTTGCTTTTGGGAAATCTGAGAACTGGACCTGAATATGCATTAACTGAGCTAGATACAATAATTTGTCTTTTGAACGAACGCCCTGAAACCGGTATTTGTCAGTAAATTGATTAAAAAATTTGTCACGATTAAATTACTTGTATAGTAGAAGGTGGCTTTATCTGGGTTTGTTGAGTTTGCAAAGGCTTTTCCGAGTTATCTTTTTGTTTTTGGAAACCAGCTTGTTCTGTAACCAGCAGAACTCCTGGCACCAATTGGCGACCACCGCTACCTCCGACAGACTGAGTTGGTTGATTCTCTTGGGATTCTTCAACGAATGTTACTTTGCGATTCTTATCGTTAGAATGCATCGCTGCATCTTCCTTTTCTTTGCTCGGCTGTTTAGCGTTAGCGGAACTGTTGTAACCCAATTCAATCAACAAAGCTTCCGCAGCGTTTCGTTTAGCAACCTAAGATAGATATGGATTACTTTCCTTAGAACCCATTACAGCTCGATCAATGATTACCTTTTTATTGGGTCCCACTCCAGTACAAGAATGTCCATTTACGGAAGCTTCAATAACGAACTCTCGTCGTCTGGGAGCTCCGCGTTCTTCCAAAACAGTATATACCGGCTCTCTTTCTTTATTAGCTTGCTGAATTTGAATTAGCCGAGATATGGGATTAATCTCCTCGGCCACTTCAGTCGTTTTATCCGTATTGACTTTAATCAAATTGCGTGTTTTCTTCTTATTAGGTACCCGCTTCCTTTTCAGCTGTGATATGTTCACCACGTTGGGAAGTGGAGGAAGTTTAGACAGTTCTTCTAGCATCTTCTCAGCGGCACGTTTCTTCGAAATCTTCTTACCGTTTCCTTCACCCTCGGCTATAAAGGTGCCTACACGACATTGAGTTACAAATACTTTCATGTGTGGAGGTCCCTTTAAAAAGAGTTTGATGAAATTTATTTGTTACTGTGCGGAGAGAGAGAGAACATTAAACAAAGTCACTTACCTTTTCGCTGAGGACTTCAAATATGACGCTGAGGTTTCTCTTTAAAGCTATTTCGTATACGAGAGAAATAGGGGACTTCAAGTCTGAATTAATGTCCCCGACACTTCCTTGCTGCATGGTTTCGTTTGGTATTTGCTGCGAATGATCAGGTGACATAGACACAGAGGATTGTTCTGGATCACCTAAACAGATTAGTATCTGTACAATCTAGGGATAAATACAATTAAAAAAGGTGCAATGCATTTGCTATTTTGTTGAAGATATTCCAAGCATAGCTAAATAGTTTCTGCGTTAATGTTTGGCTACTATTTATTTTCTACATTGGAATATTTACGAATAAAATATATTGTTCACCTAGTTGTTTGATGTGTTCAATGGCTTTGGTGGCAGCATCGTGTCTGGCAGCTTGGACAGTATAACCTTGACCCGGGTATTCCCTTTCTCCGACTCGCAAACGCACTGTATATGGATCACCAGCATTGTGGGGCGCGCTAGGTCTGAACTGCCCGTAGTATCTGTTGTCATATGGATAATTTCCTCTTATGTTCCGGCGAGCATCATATCCGTATCTCTGAGGCTGCATCTGAGCATTGTAGAGGTTATGACGAGGATAGTACCCTGGTTGAGTTAAGTAACCCTAAGGAGAAATATATTTCCTTTCCAGACACATTTATTTCGTTGGTACAACTAAAATGCCTCTTCGAGATTCAAACCTTTTAGTGATGTAAGGTCAAAATATGTAAATTGAAATGCAAATTAGTAATATTTTTTTGAAATATGTATGAAAAATTTAATAAGCAGTATCAAACAATGTATTTGACAAAAATTGCTGATCTAAATCTCTAGGAAGCATATATTTTTGACTCATTAAAGAGATACGATTTAACATATCTCACAAAACAATCGTACATAAAACATTAAGACAAAACATTTATTATATTTCTCCCTATTTTTTACAACTTACAGAGTGTTATATAATTAAATCACTATTAGAAATAAAATGTAATTCCAATGAAGTAATTAATAAACCCTGTGCACATATTTTTAAAGCAAGCTAAGAAGAGTGTGTAAGAGAAAACACAGAAGATGAAATCAAAAAATTAGACCCAATTTCAAATAAATATAAATTATCAGTAGATCAAGAGCACAACACCTAAACATTTACAAATATAATTAACAATAAAAACGTGCAACATCTACACAGTAAAAATCTAGTATAAAATCACATAGCTGCCTTGTTTCTAAGTAACAAACTAAATAACCGTATACATAAAACATTTAATTCTTACCTGATGTGGCGGTGCACCCCCGTTTTCGATTACATACACGGTACGTTCGCCTCTTCTCATAGCGAGAGCGTTCAGTTCGACTGTAGGTGTGACGATTCCCGGGTTCGGAGGGCGAGTACCAGGGCGATTCCTGATCGTTTTAGGCGGTGGGTGTTTAAATTCAGTTTTAGATAAAGCTTGGGCAGCCGCAGAATGCTGCGCTTTTTTAATGCTGGGCCCCTCGGCTTCATACTCCTCGTTACCGAGTTTCAAGGTAACTGTGAATACTTTCTTGTGAGCAGGTCCCTGTTCCCCAGTTAGTCGGTATTGGTGTTGAATTTTGTTGTATCTTGCTGTAAAAAGGGCAAATATTGTCGTTTAGAGGGAGTTCAAGAAACAATGCAGCATTATTGTAAGATTTCAGGTGAATGGTTGATATATTTACCTAATTCATTTACCAAACACATTGGTGTTTTTTCTTTTATGTTTGCCAAAGTAACATTGGGCGTAGACAAAGTATTAGTGTTTGAACAGTTTTGATGTTCAGTACTGTGTTGATCTGCTTCTGTAGGTTGGCTGGCATTTTCATAATGGTAGACTTGTTGCATATTGGGCTTAGGCTGTGGCTGTTGTGGAATCGAAGTGGTCGTAATGAGAGTTGGTCCAGGTCCAGGAGACATCGACACCAAAACACCTATTCCATTAAATTATTTATACAATATTGCCCTTATGATTCAATGAGAAAAAATAACTCCTCTCCACTACTAATGAACCAAAATAAATCATTCCTATATAAAATGATAGCATCACATTAAAGCACATCATGCCAAATTATTATTGATTGATGCCCTAATTTTAAATTGGAATTAAAATGGTTTAAAAATTACAGTAAGGCCCATAATTGTATACTAATTGCTGCTAGTATTATATTAAAATAAAAATAAAACTAGGTGCAGCAATACCATACCCCTCTTATAAGAGAATAAGTACAATGAAATTAAACTACAACTTACCAGGAGCTGGTATACTCATCAACATTGTTCTCTGGTTAGGGGGTGGGCCCATTTGTTGTATTCCCATTCTAAAATAACATAAACCAAACTTAAATTGATGGATTGAAATAAGTCGATTGTTATTTTATGCGAAATGAGCGCGAATATTAACATAAAAAAACGTTTACTGACCTAGCATTCCTCTGCATTCCATTCTGGGACATATGATGATGCTCTTGCAACATTTTTTTCTTCAAAACAATCAAAATACGTAATGAGAAGTTCCTATTTTATTTAGCAATCTAAATACCTCAATAGGGAGGAGTAGATCAACAAGACGAAGACCGGTACAAATTATCCAAAAAAAAATTAGATGTGGATGCCCGCCACTAACAATGTTTCTACCTACTTTTTTACGTTGTGTAAAACTTTATCTTTCAAACAAACACCACTACTAAATCTTTAACAAACGTTGGCAAACAATAAAGAAAAATCAGCAACTAACATGCGGCCATGTTAGAATAATCGCAAATGGTGGATGATAATCTTAAAGATCGTTAATCTGTTGACTTATGCGAGCAAACGTCATAAAGTGTTGCCAAATTGTAAAAGAATAGTTGCAATAAAAAAGAGAAAGTTCTCATATTTTCGATCTAAATTATACTGTATTAGATTTTAGATAACAAGCTATAAAATAACTGAGTTTTACTCGTGTGCCTATGATAAGTTCCCAATATTTTAAATGATTAAGGTAGAAATATAATTGGCAACTATGTAATTTCTTCGACAGTTAGGAAATCTTACAAATATAGCGACTAACGTTGAAAAGAAAATTCATTTATATCGCACCTGCGCACTGGTTCTGATTTATATTTAAAATTTTTCAATTACTATTTTAAATGGAAAAAATTAAGACACCAACGTATCTGACGTCAATAAGTTTCTTGACAAAAATTTATTGGCTATTAAAGAAAAAACTTCTTTATCCATTCAGCACTGTTACAAATTTATGCACAATAACAGAAAATACATTATAAAAAATTTATTTCTAAAATAAAACTTATAATGTGATACTAAATATCAAGTACTACTAAAGTTAAAAAATAAAAAGCCTACATTTATAATAACAAAATGTACCTATTATTTTTCTAATACAAGTAGTAAGTAAAATGCTATAAATGAATGAACATAATAAAAAATGAAGTTAATTATTTAATCCATAATTTGTTACAAAAGTCAAAATAATGATGTGGAATTTTTAATATAGCATAAATATTCCTAACTTTGTATACATGTATAATGAAGAGCAATACCATGAATTTTATCCAATTTTACACTTTCTAAATTAAAAAAGTAAATGATATTTAGTAGCAATTAGATATTACATAATCCATTGGTTAGAAATTAACTTTTTAGACTATATATGAATATGAGGGGGGGCTTGTGGAGACGCTACCGCCGAGGCTTGAGGAGATGGTGGCGTTGGAGTCGTACTCGGGCCACTTTCGGGCGGTGGGGCTGAATGTGCGGCCTGCTGTTGCTGGGACACCCATTGTCCCTGCTCAGACTGCAGCCTTTGATGGGCTTGTTGTCTCGCCCTGAATTCGGCCGCCTTCAATTGCTCCAAATGGAACTGCTGTCTCTCGGTTATTAATTGTTGCCTTTGATATTCAAGCCCCTCCCTCTCTCTTTCCATTGTCGTCTCAAGTTCCTCGAAATGACGTAGTTTAATTTCGAGTTTTTTCATCTGAGTTTCCACCAGAAGGGCTACGAGAGACTTTATTTTTCTTTCTTCCACAGCCGCAAGGTGTTTCGCTTTGACAGCTGCGGCAGCCAGCGCTGCGGCGGCGGCGCTTTGCATTTCACTGTCTTTTACGACTCGTTCGGGTTTGTTCTCTGACGTGTCCATTTTTTCTTCCTTCTCACTATCGGATGCTTCAGATTTAACTTTATCGCTGCCCTTGTCTTCTTGGCTCTCGCCGTTTTTCTTCTCCTCGCCTGATTTATCCTCGTCTTTGACGTCTTCCTTCTTTACTTTGTCGTCTTCTTCTTTATCAGGTACAGTTCCTGCGATGCCTGTGAGAGCGAGATTAGCAGCAGGATCGTATTTGCCTTCAGCGCTCGAAGCTTCGACGTTTTTCAAATGAGCATCCATTACTGAAGCCGGAACTTCGTCTTTAATACTTGCAAATTCGAGCATAGCAGATTTTGCTGCAGCTGCAGCAACTCTTGGGTCAACGATAGAAGCCAGAAATGCAACTGTAGACATTATCGGATTGCCAGCTTTACTAAACGGAATAGGTTGGTAGGCTAATGGTCCCAAAGCCCCGCCAGCTTCTGGATCTTCTAAATAAGGATCTTCAATGGGCAACCTTAAGAAATGAAGAATGCATTCGTCTTGTGTTCTCGAACCAACGTGCTCGCAAACTTTGTTCCAATCGTCCTTATACATTTCGAGTCCTTCTAACAACAAAAGCGTTTCTTGTTCTGTCCAATCTCTAGTTAATGAAGCAGCACTTTTATTTCTGAGTACAGCTGGCTTCTTAGCATACTGATCCAATTTCAGACCGAAAGTAGATATTTCGGTGGTACCTTCTGGTTTCTTGATATCCTGAGTCTTATCAAGGTCTAATAATGTTTTCGCCGCGCTGGGCTGAGGAGTTTTGGGAGGATTTACGATTTGCAAACCAGATGGAGTGTCCGAAAGTATGTGAAAGTGGGATGTAGGTGGTGGACCCATAGCAGTTGGTCTTGAATCAGTATCGACCTGATAATTGATAAGACCCCATTGCTCTAGAAAAGCATGTACTCTCATGATAGCGCAAACATCGCCAGCAAGATTACGTCTACAAGCAGTGCTAGTTATGTATTCGGTAGGATTTAATCTGTAAGTATCTATCATGAAGTTCCTGAAAAATAAAAAGGATTGGTAATCGTGATAATTAGTAGTTTTAGTAAAAACTCACCTGTAGCCCAAGTATATTTCTGGTGTCTTAGATTTGTTTCTGCCGTTAAAAAACTCGGGCATCGCTCGTTTTTCAACTTCGTGAATTGAATTGTAGTCAAACCAAGCAGAATAAGATGGAATAATAATGTGATGGGTTTGTTCTGTAACGTTATCCTCTTGCCCATCATCTTGAGTATTGCTGTCGCTATTTTTGCCAGTTTGAGAATCATCGCCTCTTTCCTCAGTATCTTCTAAATCTGTAATTGATCCACCTTTCAATGGTTGAAGCTCGTGATCTTTCTTAGCGAGCTGATTATTTTGGGAATTGGGATTGACTTCCACGATGTTGGGCTCCGGTGTAGGTTCATCCATGTCTTTCGTAAGATCTTCCGATTCGGGATCCTCAGGTCTTGTTTTCTTTCCCACAGCTGGACTTCTGCCGCTTTTCCTCTTGCCTACTTTAGACGGAGGCGATGGGGAACGCTTCCTTTTCCCTCCTTTGTTCTTTTTGTTTCTGTCTTCAGATGGATTTATCAAATCCTCGACGGACATCAACCTAGGATGTACTTTGTTTATTCCTGCTTCATCAACCTCATAGTCTTCTTCAGACATCCATTCGTTGTATTGATCCGTCTCGTACACCCAAGTGCAACTGACTCTCCAAGGACCCAAATGCGGGCTGGGATTATTTTCCATAGGTAAACTATCCAATCCTGCTGTTTCCAGATTCACCCAAGTATCGAACGAATTGGGAAAATAATACCAATGCATCATCACCATTTTATCTCTTTTGTAAACAGGTCTACCGTATGCGTCTTTTAAAGGATCGACTGCTCCGTAAATAATGTGGGTTGCCGTTTCCTCGGTCTCGACAATCTGACCGTTCCTTCTTCTGATAATTTCTCTTATCTTTTGAGCAACGCCTTTCTCTACTTCAGGTCTGATATAAACTATGGGTAGTGTGTACAATTTCGCGATTATCAAAGCTTTTTCCATTGATTGAAACATCTCATACACTTTTTCTAGCTTCGATATATTCTAAAAAAAATTCAAGTTCGTTAATATATGGTAATCGGTAGGTCATATAACTACAAATTATGTTAGAATTGTTACAAAAATAAATTACCTTTCCCGAAGGCAGTTCGAACCGTCTCCAGTTATGTTCGCTTTTGAATTTATACGCAGCTAGCAGCAAATGGCATAAACCACCTCCAGATTTAAAATCCAAGAAAAATTTTACCTAAAAAATACGAGAAATGAAAGAGTTTCAAGATTAATTAATTAACCGTAACTTACAGGTATCCGACTCATGGGTGGTTTCTGCGTATTTTTGCCCAGAAAATCCTCCTGAAACTGCATGAACTGCACTGTTGTTGTCGAAATTGTCTTGTTTGTAATGGGCTCATTTTGAAGATACTGCAATGCAATACATTAATGTTAGATTTACAAATAAAGCTTTATTACAAATAAGGGTGCTAGGCGTGCCAAAAGTATTTACCTTCTTTCCGTTTTTCTGCAGCCATTGTTTGACGCCTTCTAAAGCGGCCAATGTTTCAGGAGACTCGAAATATTTCACATTCGGTCCCCCATCCATTTTAGGCCCTATGGACAACATTTTGATATTTATTAATGAACACCGCTATGTAAAAAGCCGACAAAATCTTTATAGTATTGACAATACAAACACATCAACATCAACCACCATTTTTTTTGACGTTGCTTGTCACTTGTCATTATTTTGTTGTATGTTTGGTAACTTTGCTACCAACTGTTAGCAAAAGAAATTACAAGGATTTGATCAATAGGTCAATTACCAATCAGAGGCAATTTAGGATTTTATTTATTTATAAAAAAACTATATTGTCGTAATTACTTACGTTTGAAAGTTTTCATCAGATAAATCAGTATAAAAAGATTTGTATTTAAATACGAACTAGCTATAAGCAATAGTAAAAAGGATGTGTTAAATTGGTTGCATAACTTTCAGAAATTAATATTCAAATTCAAACCACCCATTTACTTTATATGAAATCCATATAAAACTAATAAATACTGTATTTTGTGACCTAATTAGTATTAATTTAATAAAAAAATTCAAACAGATTGTAATAGATATGTATTTTTTTTAGAATTACATAAGTGATAGGTATTCAAAATAAGAGTCCATGAATCCAGCCTCTAATTCTTTTAATCGAAATTACACAGTTACAATTAAAAATCATAATCAATACGTTATTTTTTCTACAACTAAGTCGACGTTCTAGGGCACGATTACATCACTTAATTAGTATTAGTTTGAAAATTTCTGGCATTCACACAATTTTTGGGCTTCATCCTGAAATAAGAATATTGCATTAATATAAGAAAATATAATAAAACATGAAAGAAAAAACTTCCTTCTCTGAATTATAGGCAAAATATATGTAGAATTGCCAATTCATCAAGAGTTCAAATTAATCAAAACACAAATATGAATATTTGTTCAAAAGAACAAAACATTACACATCAAATAAATTCCCCATATTGTTAATGTAATTATAAAGGCAATATTAAAATAATAGCAAAAAAAATATATGCGATATTTACCTGAATGATCTTATGAATAAGCATCAGTGCGTCCACGTTCTCTCTACACTTGCTGTCATCATCCTCTCCGAAATTGGGGCCTCTTTTTCCCCAATTAGGAGAAAAATTAACTTGCGCGTTACAAAATGCAATCACCGTTAGGATAACGATGAAAAATATTTTAAACATTTTCGAATGCCGGTCGAAGCGACTCCTTCGGAACGGTCTGCACGAATATTCTTTGCGCTGAACTGCCCAAACTTTTATAGCAAAGCAATAAGGGTGGGTTCTTGCATTTTGGCTGCTTGCTGCTCCAATGTAACCCCTCCAATCAATTTAATTGAAGAAACTTTTGGGTAAATATACATGATGTCCCAATTTCGATGAAATATATTTTTATGCACAACACTGTTTCACCACATTTAATAAGTATAAAAGATCAATCAAAATTTATGAATTTCTTATTTAACAAATCGAAACTTTAAAATTCAGTTAAAACTTGCGAGAAAGTAGATTGTAGATATTAAAAAAAAGTCAATGTTGTCCTCTTTTTAATAGATATGTATGTAGGTGTAAACAAAACAATTTCTTACCAATTATTTCATACATTTCAGTATCATCATCATCATCATAATCTTCCTCATTGTAATAAAAATTTGGTTTTTTCGTAGATAAACGATTCGAACGTGTTTTTATAGGAGGCATCTTATAATTTGACACTTTTATAAATTCACACAGAACTTTTAATCAATTGAATAATTTTTTAAGTTCAAAAATTCGTGTGTTTTGCCAACGTACAATTTTAATTTTTACATTGTTGTCAAATACTATAGTATTTATGGTGCTTGTTTTAATAGACGTGGTGCTACTCATAGAAAAAGAATTATTTTTCTTGCTTTTATTTTGTGTATGGTACTACTACTATGAAAACCTATAATATGTATAACAATTAAAGCATTTTCCAAATTAAATTAGGTGGTATTTTCAATATCAATTAATAAATTACTTTATCTTTATCTATATCTAATAATCGAAACCCTAATAGTTTGAACAAATGTGTAACCTTCAAGTGAACAAACACCGGAGTCCAGGAAAAGTTTATATCTCATTAAAGAAGAAGTTAGGAAAGGGAACATCGTTCTATTGAATTATCGATACAAGTAATGAAAATGAAGGTAGGAGTGAGTACACAGGATTTATTTGTTTTTATATATAAATTGATTGTGTGTTGATACAAGCTGTTATATTAGATATATGAAATACGGATCGTATAACAAAAAGAATATTATTGTTTTCAATTAACAGGGGGATTCACCAAACTATTTATTTCTTCTGATAAAAGAAAAATGAAAATACCTATTATAAAGATTTTCTGAGAATAAAAGTATTTAATAATATTACTTATGTAAGTCATTACTAGGTTCTAAAATGAGGTGGTTTCTGGTATAAAAATATTAGATTTTTATACTGCTAAAATGTATACTAGAATAAGTATAAATGTGTAATATAAAACATAATCAACATAAACATAATGAAATAAATACAGTATATATTTTTTAATTTTAACAAGGCATCGAGCGAATTCTTTTAAAAATGAATCAATAAATTAAAATATTATTGCATTGTGTCGGGAATCACACAAAAATTTCAGTAATCAGAAGTCAGATAATCTACAACTGACAACGTTGGATTTTCATTCGATAGTTAGTCAGTTTCGTCTCTAATAGGACATTTGACATAAACAAAGAAATAGATATAGAGTGACAAACGAGTCAGACAAAGATCGTGCGATACTTGAGGACGATTTGTCGTTGTCAATTGTCACTGTCAAAACAATTTTTATTAATGGCGGCTGGTGGTTGACGATGAGCAATAAGCAACGTTGCTAACGTTAGCTGTAGGGTTGTTTTTCATTTTTTGAGGTTTGGTTTGGTTAAAATTTCTGATTTCCACTCTGTTGGTTTAATATTTTATCTAGTATAATAAGAAACCTTTTGTGTTCATATTTTAAAAAAATGAACGGTACAAAACGTACATCGTCAGGTAGACACAAAATTGATGGAAAAATTCTAGAACCAGACGTTTCAAGTATTCCTTTAATTAAACAATGTGATAATCCTAGGTTATTGCCAAAATATACCTCAAGTAAGTTTTATACTATTTTAATTAGTTTATTTGTTGCACGATGAATCTAATGAAAATATTTTATATAGTTTTGGCAAAAACTGGAGAAAATACTGTTTCTATGGATGATTTGGATTTACTTCAACAGGACTTAGAAAAACTGCTTTCCACTAGTGCCGTTAGAATTAGATATTTACTTGCAGAAATCGGCGAAACTGACAAAAACGATGAGAGTCATGATAAAAAAGCTGACGTTAAAGTAGGTGTAGATTCTCCATCTGTTATTCAAATATTTCAATTGCATAGTTTCAGACTTCGCTAAAACGAAAAAGGATCAAGGGTAAACCTAAACATAAGGATTTTAAAGCTTTGCCTAAATTCCGTGCCGAAAAATGCCATTCAGATAAATTTTGGGCTTCCATAGAACCTTTATGTGCTAACGTTACGAAAGATGATGTTGTTGTAAGTTAAATATGTAACCATCGAAACACCTATTTACCCATCATTCCAGTTTCTAGACACCCTTATTCAAGAATATTCCAAAGAAATAGATATCAAAATTCCCGAAATAGGCGAACACTATGCTAACAATTGGTCCGACGAAATCATTAACGAAGAACAGCATTTAGGAAAAGCCCATAAGAAATCTTCGTCAACAAATGATATTAAGAAAAACGGTTTACACACGTAAGGCTTTCTTTATGTTATAAAATTTGATAATTTATTTATTTATTTTTATGTAGAATGGTTGAAACGTTCTCAATGCCCCAAACACAAAGACTTCTAGCTGGTTTGATAGAAGAAAGAGTGCTACATAATCATCCAAAAAATGGTGAAGTGACCAAATCTAATAAAGTCAAAGGTACTTTCTTCATTAAAAAAATGACATTTTTTTAACATATTTTCTTTAGGAACAGACTATGCAAAAATGAAGTCGTCATTAAATAGTCAAAAGTTAGGCACATGCTTAGATAGAAGACTGAAAAAAGAACTGATGGAACAGGGAATTATTACTCTGGAAGATATGTCAAAAGTAATTCCTATTTCTTTTCATTTTGCATCTACTAAACACATGCTTTCATTTTAGAGTATACCTGATGATGAAATTTTAAGTGAAATTAAAAAATGCCAACAAGAATTAACGACTGTTAATGATTACAACATAGGTGAACTTAACAAACTGAAAGCTGTTGTTGAAAACGACTTCCACTCTAACGAACTAAAAGAGCAGCTGGAGAAAGTTGACAAGGAAGTGCTCGATTTATATAATAAAATAATCATTGCCAGAAAGACTGCCCAAGAAGAGGATGGAGATGAATTCGACGAAGCAATATTTTCAGAACAAATAACTAAGGAATTTGAAAATCAAGCAGATGCCTTATTAAAGCAACAAATTGAACTCAATCAAAAAATAAATGGTTTAACCGATATGCAAATGATTTACTGTTGGTTAAATTCTTTTTAATTTGATAATACCAGAATAAATGAATTACTTTTTCGAATTATCAGAGTTTGTAAAGCAAATACTAGCCTTGATCGTCTCCTCGAAAAAGGCTATTATCATCAAACTGTAAAAATTTTACTCAAATTGCTAGAACTATGATAATAAATTTGTAAATAGTTCCTAATTATAGAAACAATTAATAGGCATATGTACAATTTCGAGCCACTTGGGGATTATGTTAAAAAAAAATTTCATATCATTAAGAACAAATTTATCTAAATACTACTCGTATGTAGTTTAATGTATTGTATTTATGCTTTCATATAATACATGTAATTAATATTACTGAAGTACAAAATATCTCCTTAATTAGAAATTACCAAGAAAGAATAAAATAGACATACATAGTAAAACCACATCATTAAATGTTACTTATTAATAAATATTTAGGCACAATTTTAAAATTAGACAAATTTATTTCCGTTTCATTTCATAATTAACTCGTAAAATTGAACTAATTTTATTGTATAAATAAAAAAAATCGGTACTAATTGTTGGCATTCTGGATTATTAAATTAACTAGAACAATTTATTTACCGAGACCAATTTTGAGTAGAACCATTGTTCATTAGGGGGATAAAGGCTGTCTTAATATGTTTAAGCAATTCTATTTATTTTCGCAGAACATTTTTGTAATTTACTGTGTTCGCAGGGGTAAAAAATATTTTCTTTTTTTTTTGATGAAATAGTTTTTTTTGTAATAAGATGCCATGGATAAGCTTTTTACTTATATTATTTACGTCGTTAATATTATATGTAATAAGAGATATATAATACTTAAAAAACGAATTAATTGCTTTTTTTCGCCGAACGTATTCTGCATTTTTTCCAATTAACCTTAAACTAGTCAATGGCCTTATAACGACGTAAATATCATAGGTAAAAAAATTAACCACATTAGTTTAGTTACTTTTTGATAAAAACTAAGTGATACACTTGTGAGTATGTAGAGATAGACAAAACAGCCTTTAATTTAGTTTTAATAACCATCAAGTTATGTATGTTTAGGATGTGCATATTTCGAATACTTTTAAGGCTGTTTGTCAAATAAAAAACTAATTATAACTTTCGAGGGTTTAATAAATTACTTTTTTTAATGGCAGTTTTTTTCTCAGACGAATTGAACGTTCTCTTGGAAAGGAAGTTTAAAGGTAAGGCGAAAGTAATACAAAGCCGATCAAAAAATAAAGAATTTATCATATGTACATGTGATTAAACTGTTATTAAAAATTGTTCGATGGACATAACGAATATTCATAAAGTAATATTATTTCCGAAAAAATCTGAACCAATAAACTTAAACGAATTCTGAAAAATTTGGCTCAAATTTTTTAAAATCTATATTCAATAGCAGTTAATGTAAAGATCTCGAAATATTAGAAACACTGTTTATAATGAGCAAATATTGTTGACACAGTATTTAAAATATAAAACGTCAGTAACAACAAGGTACTTCGTTTTTATTCCTAATATAAAAAATAATTATCAATTAATTTAATTGTTTACAGAAACATACGAACTTTAATTCCTTTAGCTTGCAATAAAACATTTAGTAGGTATTTACACCTGCAATATACTCTATAAAATATATTTCGAATGATATAAATGTAAAATGTATAACTAAATAATCGCAATAATATTAACTATGGGACAGATACGCAACAACCTTCTAATTAAATGCAGATAGAAGTCATATTAACCAAATATCGAGCTGTTTCGTTGAATTCAGCAGATATCATGAAACCTGTAAAATATTCTTCAAATCATCGGGAAGAGCTGTAACAATTTCGTCAAGTCGATGATTCAATTTTTCTTTAATGGAGTCATGCACTGGTATATCATGTTGTTCGCATTTAGTTATCTTATTACGCAACCTTAAGACCATATCAACAACTTCAACTTCTGGACGTCCTTGCACCCAATCTTTCAAATCCTTAAATGACAAATTTCTTAATACTCTTTAAAAGTTATCGCTTAAGTACTTACAGCATTAGATAAGGCTTCTGTTTGGAGGGCTTGCAATTTTAGGGTCAAGTCTGAGTACCTAGCATTAAACCATGCCTTAAAATTAGGAGACCTGAAGAATTTTCTGTACAACCCAGTCCAATCGCCCTTAATTCCTGTATTGTTTAAGGTTAATTGAGGTCCTGCGGAATCTAGTGTGGCAAAAAAATGATCAGGATTGAAAGGCAAAGGAGACGGGGGAGCCTACAAATACCTAATTATATTCACATTCTACAAAAAAACCAAAGACTTACCTTAAATGGAGATATGCTCCTTTGAAGGGGCATCAAACTAGCAATGTACCTCTCCAAAGGAATCATGAAACTCTGAGTGAGTTCCAGTAAATGTCTTCTCAGGATTGCAGTCTGTACTTCATAAGGTCTTTTAGAATTAACACCGCTCAGCAACTTCTTAATGATGTTTTTATCTTTGTGTAAAAAGGGTTTGTAAGCTGTGTAAATACCAGGCGTGTTATCGATCATTCGAGTCGGGGCTGTCTTTTTCAGTTTATATTTTTGAGAATGGGTCAAATCATCGCTTAAACGAATCGTATGCGGCCAATGGTGTAAAGTTTTACCAAAAAACGGATTCGTAACACCCAGTATCACAGGTGGAGGGCCTTGCGCCTTACTCGTAAATTGCTTGAATTCGCTGTCATGAATTGTAAAGTATGGACGATAATCACCACAAAATTGCAATGGACAAATTAGCCTTAAAAACATCGTTTATAGACATGGTGAAATGATATTAAACAAAAATAGCAAAATACCTTGTCAACGCTAACACCATTGATGAACAGTGAGTAGGTGACGAAGCTAGCACTACGATCGGCTCACAAACAATCACTAACTCCCATAATAAATGTATGTGGGACAAAACAGGCTGGAGAATTTCGAATAAATTCAGGTCTTCAACGTGAGTTTGAATTTGGTTATCTCCAGGTTCGCTTAATAAGGCCAAAGTTGAATTTGAACTAGTAGCTAGGGGTATGAAGGTCTGAAACAGAAACTTGTTGATAAACATTCCTTTAGAACATTTTACGATACTAACCTGGAAAACGGAGCCTAACAATGGTAAATTAAGAGTAGCTCCAGGCATAGGTCGAGGCCATCTTTCAATATTATAACATACCGCTTCCAATGTAACTTCACCATTTTCAAAGTATTCAGGAGCAATGTAACTGCATATTTTACTGAACAAATTATTGAATGGTAAAAATGAAAGCATCACAACACTCTAAAAAATAAATAACTATGGTATCGGAAATAACAGTTAGAAAGGTGCTTTATTACCTTTTGGAAGTAACCACGAGGCAATGAGATATCTTTAACTTGTCTAAAATAAACGTAACCCCAATAATAAGAACCGTCGACTTGCAAGGCAGTGGGACATTTGGAATTGTAATGTTTATATTCACTTTTGAGATTTCTTGTACCCTGATTGTTCTGTAATCTAATTATAAAATTAGTGTCCCCCATGCAACCAGAGTTTGAGTCAGGAAAAGCCAAATAACACACGTTAGATATTTCTTCTTTTGTAAGGGTAACATGTCGAGGGTAAATACTCTGAAAAAAGACATTGAAAAAAATTCCAAAATTTGTTTCATAAAAAAGGCTTACCTCAAGAGCTTGCCCCAATTCTAAGTCAAATGTTACAACACAGATGCAATACAACCAATTATGAAAACTATCCCAAGCATCCCCTAATTCATTTTCAATAAATTTATTAACTCCATCTGTCATAGTTAATAATATTGTAAATAAAATGGATTTGTATTATTTATTTTGACATTTTATTTCTAGTTCAGTTAAACTACTCGCAGTGTTGCCAATTGTTAGGTACGTTTTGTTGTTCTACTCAAACTATTCTACTTAAAATTATTTGATAGTGGTTGAAAATACAGAATTTTTGAACTGGGAATAAAAAATAATTTAAATACTCGTAAACCAATTAATATATTTTAAAATTAAACATATAATAGACATTTTTTACAATTTTTTTTTAAATACGTTCGGTTTTTTAACTCGGTTGCACTTGGACTTTATAGGGTTTAAAAAGTCAACGTCAATGTCAATATTAAATTTTTTTAAAGCACAAGAATTTTTTTTGATTTATAATTGATCGAGTTTATGAAAATATGTCTGAACTGAGGAAGTCTATTTTTGGCATTAATAGCAAACGTCCCAGGTTTGTATTGAATTTTAATGTTTTTCAATAGTTTAATTGAATGAGTTTCTTTCAGTAGGACTTCGGTAGCCCCAGGGAATAATTTCACTCCCGTTAAATGGACTAAATACTTCGAAAGAGAGGATGATATGCAATTACTTAACGGCAAATTCCATTATTACGCTAAGGGAACAGATGGACCAATATTGCTTTGTCTCCACGGTGGTGGATATTCCGGCCTAACGTGGGCGTTATTTACGGTAATTCTATCTACATGCTGAGTGTAATGAGGAAATTAGGAAGCTTTATACATACATTTTTTACTTAATTACACAATTGCAATTAATTTTACGATTATGTTTTTAGCATGCGATGTTTTTGTTAAGTACATGAGAATATGTATTTTTATGTATATGCCTTCTTAATATTTATATTGTCTTATTTTTTCTGAAGGAAGAAGTTTCTAATCTGATTGAATGCCAAATTATCGCTATCGATATAAGAGGACACGGTAATACTTACACAAACAACGATGCTGACTTATCGTTGGAAACTTTGGCTAAGTATGTTTAATGAAATTGCTCTTCTTATCAGACCGAATGACTATTTGCTTCTAGTGATGTGGTTGAGGTAGCATCAAAATTAACAGAAGGCAATGCGACTCCGATTATTTTGATGGGCCATAGTATGGGTGGTGCTGTAGCAGTTGAGGCTGCTCACAATATAGATAATGTCGTTGGATTGTGTGTCATAGATGTTGTTGAGGGGACTGCATTGGATGCACTTTCATCGATGCAAAGTATCCTCAGAGGAAGGCCCTCTCATTTCAAAAGCCTACCTCAAGCTATCCAGTGGTGGTAAGTCGGTTAGCTAATACGATAGTCTTTATTACTTACGTTTAATTACAGTTATAAAGGGGGTCAAACTCACAACATCGACGCGGCTAGAGTTTCCATGCCAGGGCAAATAGTTAGGTAAGATGATGTAAATTCTAAATACGATTTAATTCCAATACTTCATACAATTTTCTAGCATAAAAAGTGGAAAGTTGGCAGCAGACGAGTGTGATTTGGAACATATTGAAGCAGACCTCACAAATACATCGAGTAAAGAAGTCATTCCATCGGTTTACGCTTTAGCAGAAGTTGCAGAAGTAGCGGAAGATGCAGAAGAAGCGGAAAATGCCGAAGAATCTGAAGAAAACGACGACCATTGTCCTGATTGTGGAAAGCCGCCTATTCCTGCGAAAAGCTCCAAGACTGACTTTAAAAGTCCAAATGTCAAAGAGGAAGGGCCATCGTACAAATGGCGAATCGATTTGAGTAAAACGGAGAAATTTTGGACTGGTTGGTTTAAGGGATTGTCTCAAAAGTTTTTGGATGTGCGCATTCCAAAATTATTATTGTTGGCTAACATTCACGGGCTTGATACCACTTTAACTGTTGGACAAATGCAAGGTACTGTTCTCGATTGCTTGTATGTTCCTGAAAAATATATCTTCTTAATTTTTTAGGTAAGTTTCAGATGCAAGTGTTGGCAAGGTCTGGGCATGCTATACATGAAGATCAGCCTCATCATGTAGCCGAGATATTGAGCGGTTACTTAGTCAAACAACGCATCGCAACCCCAAAATCTACATTTGTTAGCTCTAGTTTGCCGGCATGTTAATTATGTATAATTGATGTATTAACTGTCTGCATATGTAGTTGTTTCCTGGCAAAGTCTACCTGGCAAAACGAAAAAAAAAAACTTGTAAGTGTTTAATGTAATTTCTTAATTTGAATACCGAGTATATTTATTTATCCTACTAATTTATGAATATCAAGAACGATGTGAAAACTCCGTCTCAGTATATAAATGTAAAACTAAGTGTATTTAATTTAAATTGTTCGAGTAAGTAGGAATGCAAACGTGTATTCTTCACAAATATCGATTTTTTGAAGACTTATTTTCAAATTAAATTAGGATGAATTATTAGAGTATAACTTAATTTAAAAATTATATAAATATAGTGAAAAGCTTTACTTTTATAAAAATATTAATGTACTTAAATAGTTTTTTTAATTACTATTTTTGTACTATTATTTTCGTATTTATTTTGAAGTAGTATCAACGTTATTCAGATTACTTAATGTATAAATAAGGTAAGTGGATAAAAAATCAGAAAAATGCCAAAAGCAGTCAAAATCTTTGAAAACAAAAATTCAATATGTTAAGATAAATGAAATGCTAATCAAATTCTTATCCACTTTTCTTTATAAAACGTCTGTAAAATGTATTTTCAGGCAAAAAAATATAAAGTCAAATTAAAAATTTGTTTAATTTTAAACCAATTGGGATTCCCATTATCTATGACTCATTATTAAGTTTAAAAAATTAATAATGCTTTCTGTAGAATGTACAAAAATGCCTAGTTTCGTACAACAATAAACGTTACAAACTCAACATTTAAAAAGACTATGAATATACAAAAACCTAAAAGAGACTAGTTCGAAACAGTTTGTTCTAATTGATTTTGTTGCTCCTGTTGCCTCTCGACATCTGCTATCCGCTTATTTACTATTTCCGTCTGAGCCTCCATAAAATGTTGCATAAGTTTGTTATTACACTTAATAAACTTCGCCGAACAATCTTCAATGCATTCAATTTCATCTTGATCTAACCTGCTAGAATTCACGTTGTTTACACATCTTTGGAAACACATTTCAGTCATCTTATTGTAAAGTTGAAGGAAATCTTTAAACTAGAAAGAGAAATAGTTAATGAATTATGTTGTAGTGGAAGTACAGATAATTACATTACGTAAAGCACCTGGATCCATTTTTATTATTATTTATAAACTATTATTCTAGCATTTTACTATATTTTTGTCTTATTATGTATCATTTTCAACATACTTTCCAAAATTTGATTTGGAGGTTAGGTAAACGTCAGTTGAAATAAAAAAGAAGAAGAAAATGACGTATTTGTTCGGTTGTTTAAATAAATGTACTAGAGCTGTTTTGATTTGCTGAAAGGGTTAGAATTAGGTCAATAAATAAACGCAGTTCTCCCACTAGTAACAAATGATTCTGACAATCCAGCCAAAACAAATGTCAGTAACTGTCAGTTAGTGAATGTAGTTTGTTGGCCGGTTCTGTAAATTTTAAATTTTTATTTTATTTTGACAAATAAACATGTGTACCTTAATTAATATGTATATTAGAAAATCATAAATTAAATTCAACGTAGAAATGTAAATAATGGATAGTGAATTAGAAAAATCGGTACTTCTTAGCACATTTCACTGTGGCAAGAAGAAAATAAGGATAATTTTGCATCAAGGAAAAATCGTCTGGGATAATGAAAAACCTCCATCAGGTAACAATATATGTTTTTTTACCTAATTGCTTATAATTTTCATTACAACCTTATTTCAGAGAAGAGAACGTTGCCACTTGAAAATGTTATTTCTGTTCAACAAAACTATAAAAGAAATACCAATCCTAGTGATTTACAACAATTAGACCCCTATATTTTCACTATTCATTATGCAGAAAGAAATAAAGGATCCAAATGGGTGTATAAAAATTTAACTGTTAAGCATTCAGATTCTGCACAAGTAACCATGTGGGTAAAAACTCTTCAAAATTATTTAAAAAGTTAGTAAACATGTTCACTAAATATAAATTTCTTCAGGTTTTCACTAAGTTGTTTTAGTGACCTTGTATAAACTACTAATTTATGGTACACATTAAGCAAATGGCTGTGATATTGTTTAAATTATTATTACTATCTTTATACTATTTTAATATTTTTTAAAATGGGTAAATCAACATTTATTCATACACGTCGTTTTGAAGCAATTAATTAAATTGCTCAATTACAAGTACAAGTAATTTATAATTATTTTCTATCCTTGACAATTCCTGTAGCTATTTACCTTCATTATATCAACAATTCTTATAAATTAGTCGAACAAAGTCAACAGATTCCATTCTTATTATTATTTTTATTTACTACTAAAAATCAGTCAATGACAAAATTATTTTTATGTTTTCGCTAGAATAACTTATCAAAATGTTGGGGTAATTCTAGTTACCTCGCAGAAAATTAATGGTCAGTTATTGGCTTGGTTCTAATTTGGTGTTTTAAATTTTTTATGTGTATTCTAATTACGAGTTGGATATCAGACCTTGGCCTTTGGGTACAACACGTACTGTGCATATAAATGTTCATTTCCTTTAGCATTATTTCCACAGAAAAATAACCAAATTATTTCCTCAATGTTTCTTTCACCTGTCGATTCTCACATTGTTTTCTTATATCCTGGGATCTTTTATGTTGTTGATGATTGTTAAAGTTATTTCCGATTTTATGATTATTTTTGCCTGCAGGAAATATCGGAAAACTTCGAAGGAAATTAATTAAAATATATCATACACCAATTTGTTATCGATTAAAAGTAATTCTAAATATTTACATCATGTCTATGAAGTCATTCGAGACCTTGATATTTTGAAAACATATAAATTTTGCATTAAAAAAAGTTGAAAAATTGATGTTGCGTCATTTAAACAATAACACTGCTTATGCTTCGATTGTAAGAAGCCGATTTAAAATTGGAAATATTATTGTAGATTTTAAAAGTCGGCCAAAACACCTGCTCCTCTTCGTGAATCCATTTGGAGGTAAAAAAAACGCAATGCAAATTTACGAAAAGTTCGCCAAACATTTATTTAGCATAGCTGGCGTAGAAGTCACCGTGAATGTTTCTCAAAGAAAAGATCAAATCAAGGACTTCATAGTCAATCATAGCTTAGATATATTCGATTCCGTTGCTTGTGTTGGCGGAGACGGCACCGTTTCCGAATTATTTAACGGTTTAGTTTTAAGAGAATGCAAAATTAGAGGAGTAGATCCCGATGACATTGATCAAAATTTGCCTAGACCTAGAATTCCTATCGGCATCATACCAGGTAAAAGCACGTTTTTAACATTAGCTTCATGCTTTTCGTGTTTGCATTTATTCGAATTATCGCCGCATTTAGAAAACTATTTGAAAGGTGTCTCGCGATTATCAATTTCGCTAATTATTTATTACATTTTCAAATATCTGAGAGATAAATAAATATCCTACCAGCGTTCTTAATCGATATTAATCTCGAGGCATCTTATTGTAGATCACAATCTACATTTTGTTGTATCTAAAAAATTTTTAGGAGGAAGTACGGATACCATAGCGTATTGCATTCACGGTACAGATGATCCCACAACAGCCGTTTTGCATATAATACTTGGAGACAAATTAGGACTAGATTTAGTATCGGTTTATGATGAACATAACTTGCTTCGTTTGTACGCCAGCGTTTTGAGTTATGGTTACTTAGGTGATGTTGCTTATCATAGTGATCAGTATCGATGGATGGGCCCCAGAAGATACGACTACTCAGGTAACTTTTTATATCGATTCATTTTTCCACTAATATTTAAGAGTTCTAATTGAACAGGTACAATGTGACTTGTGTGCATTTAACTGTTTTTTATTCAATTGGTTCAAGTTTTAAGAAATGCTTGGGTACGTGAGCACTTTAATTGCGAAGTTTATTGACTGTTTAAAGTATAATTATAGAGGTTGAAGCACTTACGCGACTAAATTCATTGTTCAAATGGCGCATTGTAGAAACGGAACGTGAAAGTTTATACCAATAAATCAAGTTTTAATATTTTCCATTAAATTCCGTCTTTCACAATGCGAGTAGGTTTTTATTTTTAATTTATATGTAAAAATTAATTGTATTGGCATTTGGATTTTTATTTTGTTCTAAAAATATATTAACCAAACGCGATTATTTGAAGGCACTATCAGGTTTAGTAATATTGATTTTACTACATCCTTATAAGTTCGGTTTTCAGGAAATACTTTTATCGTATAAATATTTCTCTAATGCTAAAAATAAAGTGATTGCTGGTTCATGAAAATTAATTTTTCATTAGTATACTTAATTTAGAACAATACCATTTTTGGTTTATTTTTACTTTAATTACAGAAATGTTATCTAATTATTTATTACAGCTTTTTCATGTGTATAATTTGATTATAAATTACTGTAAACATTGGGTATAAGAATCTTTTTTCGAACTAATTTGATATTAGATACGAATCACTTGAGATTAGCAGATTTAGATAAACATTTTACTACAGGATACATTTATTATCGTTTGCTCTATTAATTATTATTTGCCGAAACTTCATGGACACAATAATCTAATATTTATTTAACGCGTAGAAATTTTATGTCAAAAATTGTTAGGAATAGTGCAATATCAAAATAGCACGTGCCATTTTTTTGAAGCTCTTGTAAAATAATAGATTTGGTTTTTAAAAATTTTAATTTTTTTTTCATTTAATATAAACCTTGTATAAGTAGTAAAAAAGTTTCTTTCAGGTTTGACATTTTTTACATGAATAATAGTAAAGATATTTTTGTTAAATAACTTGGAATATTTACTGTACATTTTTTGTCATTATAATCGACATTCAGCTTGTAAACTTAGTCAAAATTAAAACTGCATGAAATTGTTGAGGAATGATCAAAACATTTTTATATCGCGTTGGATTTTCCTAACCGAGGTATTAAAAATTCGTTTCTTTATTCGTATATTTAAATATTGTAGCCATTATGTATTTGTATAAAATTTATGTTAGTAATTTAATTTACCTTGAACTCTTGGACTGTCTAACAACATTATTAACAGCTTTTTAATTTTATTTTTATATTTTCGTTGTCTTGAATGTGTTATTTTTGTCATTTCGTTGCTTGGACCTCTTTCTATTTTCTGCTCCAATTAGTGAATTAATTATTCATACTTACAAATGGAATCAAATTACATTTAACAATACTAAATATTCATAAAGTTATTTGTTCCTTTGGCGTTGGCCTTCGATTTTTCCCGGTTTATCCGATAGCGGAATACAAATTTCAACATGTTTACTCGCGAAGGTTTACACTTTTGCCAATTTAGTCGAAGGAAATAAATTAATTATTCATTAAATTTTGTTCTATTGTTGTTTATATGTATTTTGGTAAGTGCATATTGCAAATGTTACAATTCTGGTTGCAAAAGTGATCATTACGTTGTTTTATCTAGTAAATTTGATTCGGTGTTGCGTAAAAATACCATGTGCACTGTACCGTTTACTGCAGATACCATATTGTCTGTGTATATTGCAGCACAGTTATAAAATTATATGTTCTCAAAGAGGATAAGAAACTTTTGCAAGACTAGATGTTCAAGTGCTCTTATGAAACTATGAAAGTGCATTCTTTTTCGAAGTATATGGTTTACTTTAAAAAAACTAGTTTATATTCAGAAATTTCTCAGTAAGAATTTTTGAAAACATTGCGATTTTTATAACACATCGATATAATAACAGTCATTTTTTGGCTAATTTCGTTATTCACGAAATTTTTATGTTAATTCCTATCGGTAAACCACGTAATTAAAGCTTATTATTTAGATACCTCTACGTGTTTGAATGTTTCGTGTTATCAATATTTTGTTTCGAATTTTTTTTAAAATACCCGTTGAGGTATTTAAAAATACCCGTAGAGGTAAACGTCACTGTGCTGTTATTTTTATTTCACTCATGAATTAGTAATTACTCGTTTATTATCTAAAAATGGTATCTAGTTTTTTTCTTAATGCACCAGGTGTTAATCCATAGTCTTGCAAATGAAGATTAAAGATAGCGATTGGCTGTTAAAAAAAATTGTATTATTGAAAAAGTAAGTTTAGAGGATCAGAGGTGTAACAGATTATTATTTTCAGGGTTTAAAAAATTAGTTAGCAATAGAGGTTACCATGGGGAATTAGCCGTTTTTTCCGAGATGGAGGGAGGAGTCGTCGAGGAAATACCTTGCCACGAAAAATGTGATAAATGCGAATCTAGCAAAAAACTTCAAATAGGCGAATTAGGATGTAAATGGCAGACTTTTTCCGGTAAATTCTTTATGGTCAGCGGCGCTAACATCAGCTGTGCTTGCGCCCGGAGTCCAAAAGGCATCGCCCCTCACGCTCACCTGGGGGACGGGATGGTCCATTTAGTGCTGGTCAAGCACACGTCAGTATTGAACAATTTGAGGCTATTATTGAGGTTGTCCAGCAGCGATTCGTGCATTGATGATTTGCCTTTCATCGAGATTTTGAGCGCCAGAGAATTCTGCTTCCGTGCCACAGAAGGCAGCAGCAAATGGAATTGCGACGGGGAGGTGCAACACCAGATTAACATACGTGCAAAGTAGGTTTCAGAGCAACTGCATTCGATTTTTTTTGTAATCTTGACCGGTTTGTTTCAGAGTAAGATGTCAATTGCTCACCATATTCAGTAGAGGAAGGCCAAAAGATAATTCTATAGATCCCACTTGTTGTGGATTTTGAGGTTTTTGAGAAAAATTATATTTTTAAAGTATTGACTCAAGTATTGCAAAATCTCTATTCCTATGGATAGTATTATTTTTTTCTACATTAATATTATGCCTACTTAATGGAACTTCAATCACATTTTATTCATTCCGTATTATTTTGTTTTACCTATACGTATAATGTAGCCAAAAAAATAAATTATTTTGTAAATCATGCAGTGAATTCTTTCAAGACCACTTCTCTCTACCTCTCGCTTATAAAGTAGTTTACATATGAAAATAAGAGTAGAAACAAAATTTTAAGGTCAATATTTTGGGGTCAAGGTTTTGTTCCTGAATGCAGAAAAGTAAAAATTCACAAATCGTAATAAAAAGAAGAAAATCTAGTACGGTAAATTATTCACAAACGAACAAACCTCGTTCGCCTCGTTGTCATATGTCAAATACGTCATACGTCAACGAACGTCACTAACGTCAAATTTATTTTTGAGAAGTTTTTGTGTTTTAAGAATACATTAATTATCAATTAACTTTAAAAGTATATTATTATTGTGTATATAAGAAGAATTTTATTTTCAACCTTTATTTTATTAAGTTTATTTGTATGTGATAGTGTTTAAAAGTTGTGCGAATCTATTAGAAAAGTTAAATTATCTATAACCTAAAATACATTATTATTTTATATAGGACATTATTTTATATTTAATCACATAATATAATTAGCTGTAATTCGTTATTAGATATTATATTAGCGAGCATTTAATTAAAGTGTAGAAATATGAGTAAACCGGCAAGTGCAGAAGATCCTGATGACATTACTATGACTGCACAGGAGTTACATATTTTGTCTGAACTAGACAGGTATGATTTTTAAAACAAATCAAGTTTTAAATAATAATACTTTGCAAGCTTATTATTAATATATATTATAAAAAACACAAGTATGACCTGTTAATTTTATTTGTATTGTTGTTTTAGTCGTCAATATGGGTTTTTACTGCTAAATCAACCAGAAAATGGTTCTAAAAAGGCCTTAGTCCAAAAGGTACGTTGTATGAATATCAAGTGAGTACCAGGTTATTAACCAAGTATGTTATTTTAGGCTGTAAAGTACTTGCAATTAATGGTAATGCAAGCAAGGAGACAACAGAAAGCTAAAGAAAACGACACTGCAAATCAAGGGAAGAATATCAGCATCGATCCGAAGACATGGGTTAAATTAGGTCACTTTCATTTGCTACTCGAGGATTATAGAAAAGGTAATTAAGACTTAATTCTACGTTCGCATATTTCACAACGTAGCATTTTTCAGCGCTTTCCGCATATCAAATGTTCTACAAAACTCAGGCAGAGAATCATTGGCAAGACACGTCGTTTTTGTATGGCATCGGGCTGGTTTATTTCCATTTCAACGCGTTTCACTGGTAAGTAGTTTTTGATTTCGTAAATTTATTGATCACAGTTCACGAGAGTATGTACAACTCATTGCATATAAAACAAAATGCCTGTTATTTACTTGAATGCAGGTATTTGTAAGAAGTGTTGCTTAGTAGAAGTAAAATGAGCTGTAAGATTGATAAAAAGTATACATTTAACCAACAAATTATGGTGAAAGGTTAAGTTATAGGAATATGAGAAATCTGAGGTGAACATACCAGTTCTTTCCGCTAGATGGAAGCATATGTACCGTTATATCTCGGCATTACGTACTAACTTTATCTATAGATGCCTAAAATAGTAGCTAAATAGGAGGGTTACAGATCTATATTTTTTGTATGGGTAAGAGCAAATGTGTCTGGTCAATTCTATGAGATGAAAAAAGAAAGAATATTAAAACAACAGTAGTTAGAGTGTGAAACTTGCAATCCCATAATATCACTCTTTCTTTTTCTTTTATATGTGACCAGAGGAAGTTGTATTTGTTGCACCCATAGCCTCTATTGCAAACAATTTTGCATCTACCTGTATAATTATTATTGAGTAATATTTTGAACAAATGCATGGGAATTTACGGGATGGGAAAGCTATTTTAATAGTAAGGGTTGTTTTCTGTTAAATCCAATTTTTAATATTACACCCTTTCCTTTCTAAAGGCCCTAATAAACACCCTTGAAGGATTTTACCCTGTACCGTTACCTTAACCCTTGCATATGCAGACAGGCAGCCTGCCTGCATCGCTAGTAAGGAAGTTACAACTATGCAATTCGCATTTTGTATAAATTAAATCTAAACTTCCTACCGTATTAATTCCTATCGCGGATTACATTACCTGTTAAGGAGATTCGGTGCGAAAATGTATGCTTAAACTTACGTTAATTAAACCCTCTATTTACAATTAAAAATTTATATTGTTTAAATCGAATTAATCAGAAGAAATTAACAATATGGTTCGTTTGTAAATTACTAGAAGGGATTAAAAAATATAAAATGATCATGAGGTATCCTCTTAAGGCTGTTCTTCAGTTAACTGCACTTTATCCGTACGTCCTTTATTCCCGTTCCAATATTATTTTCTCTTTTCGTATACGGATTGGATTACCTTTTAATACTAGTCATTAGATACTACTTTCAACCATTGTAAATTGTAATTACCCGTTAATATTAGCGTTTCAGTACGTTCCCGATATAATGGTAATAAAAGCTTCCGAACTATTTTCAAATTCAAAGCCGTTTTATTCCGTCTAGTCGTCTACGGACAATTTAATTTCGTTTAGATTTAATAATGAGAAAAATCGATTTGCGCAACCGAAAGTTCGAATTCAAAAATAAATGATAAAAGGCAGTGGTATTCGGGATTCTCTTCGACGCAATAATTTGTATTCCCTACAATCTTTCCATTCTATATAGCTAAAGAATTAATGAAAAAAACATGCTTGGAAGAATACTTATTTATACAGTAATTATTCCGTTTTACTTTGTTGTTGGAGCATTCAAAATTCTGAATGTATTTTCCGGAAAATGGTTAATTAATGAACCAAGTAAAAGTTTTAAAATGTATCAAGTTTAATTTATATAGTTTATTGACCCTGCGCCAAATTTTCGAAATACAATGGGTCTGGCGGGCGAGTTAGAATTTATCTTTTTCCACCCTCTTCCAATCTAATTTGATTATAAATTCAAATTGAATGCAGACGAAAATAATCGATGCCCACTACAAGACCTATAGGGGGAGTGGATGCAGTTAGAAATTCGATGTCCATTTCTGACACGAATGTATTACGGGCCGGATGTGCCTCTACAAAACTGCATTAACGTCATCGGAACGTCATAACACCTTATCGCAAAATCATATACTAACAGGTGTTTACTATACAGGGTGATTTTTTTCATGAAATATTCATACACCTTTCGTTCATTATCGCGATATTAAGAACTAGCCACCCTGTTAGTGGATTGATGCAAGTCTATGCAACGTTGCGAATTTTAATTCCTCTCGTTCAGATCACGATAAAATGGTTTCGAAATAAAGGTACTTTGTGTGTAATTTTTCTTTGTTCGATAGGCTTTCCAGCTGAATGTAACGCTATCGATTTACGCCGCGAATTCCCTCGATATTTTCAAACGTTTTCAACATATTTTTTTTGATGCAGTCAAACTGTATTTTCACTTAACGCATTTGATTGTAAATTATTTTAACGATGATTACCAGACTTTCGTAATTATTAGATTAGTTAGACACTGAACTAATAGGTATTGGTTAAAACATGGCACCGTCGTTACAAGAGTGCGTTTCCCGTTGTTGCCATTTTTATTTTATAATTTTCCCCACTGCAGTTGAACGAAACCCTAAAGTAGCAATTAGAGTTTAATCTTCCTTGATTTTAAGGACTAATTACTTATGATTTAAATGCAAACATTAGAAATCGATGTTCAACGTTCAACTGTGTGTTGGTTATAATACAGGGTGATTCCTAATTATCTATGAGAAATAAAATGGCGCGTTACTTGTTTAAATTTAGAGGGAAAATGTATATTATCCAAAACACAGAATGAATTTACTAAAGCAGTATACTATGTTAAACTTAGCAACCCAATTAAATCGATAAAGAGCTAATTTGTGTACCTGTAGAGACTACTTGCAATAACTTGAACCTATTCATTAGTGACCCTCTAAATTAAAAGACAATGCCCCATCATTTTAGTGTAGTGTTCATTAATTTAGTGTGGTGATTACATGTACAGCCAGTAATAGGGTACGGTAGGATATTGACGACGATAAACGTGCATATGTGGCAACAGTGCTGCGTTGCGTTTTCGAGATATGCCGACCGAAGCCGAGTCCGGTTGTGGTGTCGAGCGATTTTCGTCCTTATGATGTACAGTTATACGGCCGTGCATCGGTAATTTAAAAACGCTTCCCTGTACTGCAATTTCTTAGTCAAAGTATTAGCGCAGGCAGGCAGGATGATTTGGTTTCAGTTGGTCGGATAGGAATAGGACGAGGAGGTGTGTTGTGTTCATCGGGTGTGGAGGGAGAGTGAATATTTTTGTTTACTTGTAGACATTTCTTTTTAAATAACTCTTTAAAATACCACCAAGTGCACTTGTGTTGTCAATAAAGACCTTATCACTGCCAGTTTATCTAATATACAAGTTAATATTTTGTAAGTTAAAATTACTGAATCCCAAAGCTGAGGAACTTTATTTTGATGGAAACTATCATATCTGCGGTAAGTTGGGCTCGTGTCAATTTTGTAGGCTTAGCTGAACGTCCTGTCAGTCATGTTTTACCTGTTTTGTGTCGATTTTACTTTGAGATAGCGCCGGATGTTTTGTTGTTGATTACATTCGCCATGTTCAATGTGACATATCTCACGTCATCCCCAGTCTCTTCCGCTATATATATGACGTTAGTGACGTCACTTAATCGAAGCATCCAGGCTTTGTGTTGATATTGAGTAATTGGCGGACGCGTCGTGCATATATAGATGAATCACATTTAGAATGCATTTCCTCGTTGCATCCTTGCATAAGTATTGGAAAAAAAAACGCATTCTTTGTTCGAATTCTGTTTACTTTCACAGCGGACCTGGGTAATAAAAGAACAACCAGTGCATTATTGTTCCGTTATACCTACGCGCCTAAGTACACAACATTGTGTTCGTTGGTGTATTTGTAACAAATAGGTATCTAGACCTTCCTATAAATAAACTCCTTATTTTTTTTTAATTTTTATATTTATAAATATATTTCTCATTGTTTGGACAAGTTATACCGTAATCCCCATGGGAATGATACGTAATGTAGCGGTTTTTTTGTATGAAAAATTTCACAAATCTTCAATTTTACTGAAGATGTTATTAAATTCCAATAATTCCCACGGAAAATACTTCCAGTATCAAGTAGATCTTGAATCGATTCCAGCCTTAATTAGTAGCTCTTGAAGTGGATAACTTTAATAGATTCTCTACAATCACAGAGAGTGCCAGAGAGAGCGTCATTTTTAATCAATTACGGCATTTCCCTCGCAAATTGTGGTTATTGCATGTGTCATGTGTCGGGTTTACGTTATACCCTATTAGCTGTCGGGAGGTACGTAAACCTGGGATTGTCGCTAAACAATTTTTGACATTTTTACACCTAAATATTTTGCGTAAGAAGACGTACTAGTATCGATCAACAGCGGTCGTAGTTTGTAGTTTACCGACCTTGCCCTTGTCTTCTGGAACGATTAAAAAATCTAGGGATGAACTCGGAAACAATTCAGCAACACGTTGTTGCATTCTTCCACCTTCCAACTGATCTATGACCTTCGGATTTTATCTCTTTTGGCAAATCGTGGTGCTACCTTTTTGGAAGCACCGAAAGTTACAAATGCACCAAGAATCACACGAGTGAATATTTATAGATGTTTTCAATTTTTACACTCAATTACTGGTTTGGTTTAGTTACCGATCTATCCAATGTAATGTAAATATTCTTGTTTGGAACCCACCTGTGTAATGTTGTAGTACTCACGGTAATTTCTGCTTATTATTCAAATAAATTAAAATAGGTATACTGTTCCCATAATAACACTACTTTTTGACAAGAAAACATTAAAATTACATTTCGTTATTCATGAATAGTTAACGTTAAGTAGAACAAGAGGTTTCATAAAAATCGAATAAAGGAACCTATTTTTTGAATAAAAGATACTGAACAAATCCGTCAATAAGTGGAATAATACAAATTTTTACATAATTATGCTGTTGCATAGATAAAATGCTCAAGTTAATAAAATTCTCTTGAATTCTACTGACTAAATATTGTCGAAATAGGACGTTACATAATAAACCTATATATATTTTTGATAAAGAAATCTCGATTCCAATCTAATCTCTTAAAGAATATTCCTACGAGAATTGAGGTTTTGTAAATAAAATATTGTAACATGGCATAACTGATTTTTTATTCTATAGAATATTACTATTAAATTACACAT